TACCAGAGATATGTCTTTTGCAATTCATCAATGAATGTTGATGATGTATAGATTTTAAACATTGTTTGTTCATATCATATTTGCTAGATTAGAGAGTGTTTTTGTACTTTATTAGTATCAAACAATTCAAAGTTTATGGTATATGATCAATTTTGTAAGATTAAAAATAATAGAAACGTTAAAATTCAAATGTTTGATAAAAATCATCTTACATTAACTCAGGTTAAATTTATAGACTATAAGAGAAGAAATTTGATTTCTCTTATAATGTTAGATTCAAAAATTCTTGAATGAAACTCCGAAAGAGAATGTTCAAGGTGAATATACGTGATATGATTATATAAAGGAATCACATATCTATTTGCTAGAATTATCATCTATGTTTAAGTCAATTTTACTAAATCTTGATATGAGATGTCTCATGTATCGCACTCTAGTCTATTATAGATGAGTATTAGTTACATGGCACGCCTTCATGATATGAGGTTATTACCTGGCATAGTTAAACTTGACTTAGAGTTTTGTGAAGATTGTGTTATATGCAAGCATCATAGACAAGATTTTGATGTTGGATTGCACAAGGAATAAATTAAGTATATACATAACTACGTTTGTGAATACTCTCTAAAATCCTCATGCTTTGAAAATTGTACTATGCATCTTCTATTAATAAGTTATCAAGGTTTGTACAAGTTTATTTTTTGACACACAAATATGAAGTGCTTTCAACTTTTAGAAGATGAAAAGGCCACGTTGGAATTCAAACTTGAGAGAAGGTGAAATATTTATGTAGGTACGGCATCTTGCCATCTTGCCATCAAAACTCGCCATCTTGCCATGATTTATATTTTTGAAAATCTCAATCAAACACTATTGAAGTGCGCAATATGTTGAATTGATCTTGTAAATAGGAATTAGTTTTCAACCAGAAATTGACGCGTCTCGGTTTCACCTCACTAACTGCGTCATTGCCCCAAGCGCAAAGATCATCTTATGTACATCATATGAATTTTGAGCCGAAGTTGTCAATACTGCAATAAATTTAGCAAATATTCTCTTTTCACAGCAATCAATTTCTTGACACTCGAATTGAGTTACAAACGAATGACAGATAAGTTGTTTGAAAATGTTTGGTTGTACAACTCCTACTCTTATATTCTAAGAACACATAACTAAGTTAGATCCTACATTCATGAAGTGTTGTTTTCTTGGATATGCTACTAGTGTGAATGGTAGTAGACTACTCATATCTTTACTTTTCACTGATATAGGTTCATAAAAAATAATTCATATTGGCAATAACCTTATATGTTATTTGATCTCATAGCCTATAAGATTATTGATAAGGTTCAAATTTTTTGTACTGAAAAGTATAAATCTTCAGTCATATATGTTGTTTGGAGAAAATTGATTATCATGTGATTAATGATGTGACCATAAAAAAGTTTTGTTACAAATAGAATACTATCTAAAGAGCAAGAATTGAAGCAGCATGTTATTGATGATGAGACTCAAGTCTCTTCATCAAAAAATATAGATCAATCAGACGCGTCTATTAGAAGATCATTGAATCAAATTAATAAGGTTAATATAATGAATTTTAAAGTAGTATGGTTTAAATAATCTTCAACTCAATGTCCAACCGATGTCATTGAAAAAAAAATGTCATCAATTTTCTATGACAAAGTTGCAGAGATTTTCATATATTTGATGGTGTGCATAAGACTTGATATTGCTCTAGCTATGAAGAAAGTGAGTATTTCAAATCTAAGTAATTTGCATTTAAAAGCAATGAAGTGGTTTCTTGTGCATTTGAAGCATGTTAAAAATTATGGTTTCTTTTTTGTCGTGCATGTGACAAGACCAACTCCTTGCTAAGCTTCGTTGTTGTTGACCATGTACTCGATCTGAACATGAAAAATTAAGTATATATTTACACTTGAAGTTCTATGCATTAATGATAGATTTATTTTGTTAAAATGCATAGTTAAGTTCACAATAAAAACATAATATTTAACAATAGAAGCAACACAAAAAAGATTGATTAAATATGTTGATCATTTAGCAAGGTATAAAATATGAGATAATCAATCTTCATTGTTATAGTCAAAATGCATTACATTTTGATGCAAATCAAGCGATGGATAGTAAAGTGAAATACATAGAAATTGTGAATCAATTTATAAAAAATGTAGAGTGTGATAAAAATATTGAGCTGGTCAAGATTAATAGTAAATTGAATCAATCTGATACGCTGTTCAAAGTTGTTACTTGGACATGTTTTAGAAAACATAGTGCTACTTTTCAGGTTTGCATAAGGAGCACAAGAAGAGTTTATTATCAACTTTTGTTATATGAGTATATTTATATTGTATCATGTTTTTGCTACTACTTAGTTCTACTCATCTCTAGTGTGAAAAACAAATTTATGTCAAAATTTATTCTAGAACTTTCTGCAGAGTAATTAAATAGATTATGAAAGCTATTATACTCACAACACGGGTTAAGGTGAAGACTCTGAATGTTAACTTAAGTCTCAAATTAGACTCTAGTTAACTCATATTAAAATTAAAGTTAGATCTAAGATGTTTTCTACCATATATAAATAGGATTACAGACCACATGTCGCTCTCAACACTTTGTAGGTATTGCAGTAAAGACCTTATTGTTTCCTTTGACGGAGCCCGAAAGCGAAGAACCGTGTAATTTTTTTATCAACATAGTTTTTATGTTTGCGTTGATAAATTTTTGTGTTTTTTTTTGTTGACAATACGATTTCAAAATTTTAACCATTGTATAAGATTTCACAATTTTTTGCAGTCATAGCTTGCATAAGAATGTATCTCATGTGCTATGGCATTATATTAAAGGGGAAGTTGAAAGTTTATAAGATATTTGAGCCTAAAAATAATTCTTAGTTCTATATAATGTGTTTCAATGCTAGTAATTGTTAACTTGTGTGAAAATCTGTACATCATGACAAGATAAAAATTTGGAAATTATAAGTTTGGCTACTTTGAAACTTTCAAAAATATTTATATTTTTTAAAATTATGAATATATATGAATAAATTCTTAAAAGGTATACAAAGGATGTGGATTATTATCCTTCTTTAAGCATGAATCATATCAAAATAGAATTATTATCTTATTCTTGTAGGTGCAGCATGCATTTACCGTTGTTTTGTAATCAAAGTAGATGTTATGATCTACCTTGATATAAATTTAATACAAATCTTTTTTTTAATAACAGATCAGTTTGCTTCATTTGAGATCTCTCACATGAAAACACAAATTCCTCAACCTCAAAATTATAGGAAATAGCAGGCTACCTACCAACTATGCCAAGTATGGAAAAAACCCCTAAAATTTTTATTCATTATGGTTTTTGGACCTCATATTGATTTATCCGACTAGTTTTCAATAAAAGCAAGGAAGTAGAAGCTAGAACGGGAAAAAAAAGACCCGACTCGCATGTCCAATGCCAAAAAAATCACCTAATTTGTTATCAGATTCTCTAATATTTTTGCATATAATCTTCTGAGGGTCAAATTATGGTACCAATGGCACCAAATATGAAAAGCTAAAAATAATCGTCTATTTATTTTTCATTTTCTGGAAAAAATAGTAATTTGATGTTTGAATAAAATTACTATTTTCATACAATAATCATATAATCAATAATCACGCCTAACACTTTCTAGTGCTTTGGGCACACATTAAAAATGAAAAATGTTCTATTTAGCGAATTGTAAGACATAAAATTCTAAGTGCAAGTTTTTACGTTACTCTTCGCTGTAATTGGTGAAGGAATGATAATATGCTGACAACGTTACATCCACCAAGATATTGATACTATCGAATTACGACACCAAGTCAGCGGACTGCTGCGAATGTTGGGGTCCTCTTCCGATTGGATTGCCTATATTTTTCTTTAAGAAGGAAGACACAATAGGAGAAACATCCGTCCTTTACGAGATACAAAATATTATTCAGATTGAGAGAAAATGACAACAAGGATCATAATTCATGGTACGATACTCCAGAAGATTTGCCGTTCGCCTTAGAGCAAGGTCAGGCAGACCATACACACCGTATATACAGTGGGGCAATTCTCAATAATACAGTAATCTCAGTCAGAAACTCTACCGAACAGGTTAGAGCATCAACTGCAGTGGATGTATTTGGCAAGTAGTAAGACAACCGGTATGCATTGACTGTGGAAGGTGTTCTTTGTAAAATCTACGTGGGTAGAGAAATAATACAAAAACATTGCAAATTAGAATACAAATACAACTTGTAGTGGATCCAATATAGTGGATGTACTGGGCAGGGTAGTATGATATCCGGGATGCATTACCCATAGGAGGTATTTACTTAAAATCTAATCTTTAGAGAAATGATTCGATATCAATTGCCAAAATGAAATAAAACATGCAAGTGCAGATAAGTGATCTTGATTGGATGTGTCAATGTGCACATTCCTGGCCTAAAACACGTTTCCAGGTCGATGGGTATGCAGAAATTTATAAATATTTATTATTCTAGTGTTGGTAGTCGAACCATGGATGCAAACTATACATGTTCTTGAACTTGTCCACTAATGTGCAAGAGGGTACCACTGTAGATGGCAAGGCAAGGGGTATTTTTTTGTGCACTGAGTATGACATTTCATGAGACAAGATTCTATAAATTCTGAAAAAGCATTTCATAGTGACATAGACAGGAAAGCAATCATAGTAGAGGACGAATCTCTTTGGATGCTGATGGTGTTTGTAAAACTTTTCATTTACATTTTTTGGTTATCTTGAATGACATAAAAAATATTTTTCTCCTTGAGAGTCTTGATGGGTATTCCAAATAATTTTACTATTCACACCTTTCTCGTACAACAGATGAATAATTTTGTAGACAACATATTTGTTCCTTGCAAATCTGAATAGAAAAAAGAAGACAGGTAAAACACTTCGAACATCGCAACATAAATAAGAAGAAGGAAATGGGTATCAGATAGCGAAGAGATGATCTCCTCAACGACGTCAAATTGCAAATGCGATGTGCCAATCTGACCCAAGATGTTTAAAGGCCGAAAATACGTTCATACACATGCAGTGCATAATGCGTATATATCGGAAATATCTATCTTTGTTCCAAGGGTCTTGTATTGCTCACTGGCGAGCGCAATGTAGCGACGTCATTTGTCGACCTCGATCGATCGATCGAGACGAATTCAGATTACTGGACTTCCCCCAGCGGTACAGCAGTGGAGAGTGTACCGAGCTCGCTGCTGCCATTCCTCGGGGACTCGGACCGCACAAGGGATACGACGAAGGTACCGTCCATCATGTCAGTGGCGCATACGGATACCGAATGAGTATTGGACGAACTCGACGAGACGAGGGCTCATTCCACGTTTGTTTGTTTGTTCGTCGAATAAACAGTGGCAGCGAAAGTTCCCGCCGTCCAGTCCAGAGCGTCGAGTTGCGTGCCGAGCGGAGGCCGCAGACGATCCTCTGAGTGCTCGTCAATGATAGGCGCCTCGGCTGTGCACACTGCAGAGCTCAGCATCGTACATTATCTGGACGTGACAGACTGCTGCCGTGGTTCGCCTTTTGCTCTTATGTCAATCGGCTCACTCTACTCCCTCACTCCCCCTGCCTCGCTCGCTCCCTCCCTCCCTCCCCGTCTCTCTCGCTCGCAGTAGCTTGCTGGACGTTTCCTTTTCAGTCTCGATCTAGACGGGGCCTGACTCACAAGGTGTCAGAGTCCGGCCTAATTCGTGGCAGCGAGCGCCAGTGCGAGCGCTGTTCGCTGCCGTAGCAGTTGCGCCTGCGGTGCGGGAGAGGGGCCGAGAACAACCACCCAGGCGGCCCCGGAGTGCAGCCATCAGCAGACCTGTGAGCCAGGCCTGGAATTTGCCGGAGGCTTTTTCCCTCGAGCTCGGAGAGAAGAAGATGTGCGGGAGCGAGTCACCAGCATCAATGTGGGTGATGGAGGGAATTGGATCGTGAATCTGCGACGAGGAGGCGCAGGCATTCTGAGAGCGCAGGGGAGGGAGGCAGGGAGTGGCAGCTCAATTCAGCTCGCAGGGGAGAGGGAGTGAGGGAGGGATGGCGAAGCCCGGGTCGAATGCAGCGCCAGCGTTCAAAGCGATCTCGTATCGAGCGCCGGCGCCGGCAGCGGGAGCGCAACGAGCTGCGGCGGCAGCAGCAGCGAGCGACAATTACCCGGTGCCCGTGTACCTGGTGATGAGGACGGACTGGCGATTCTCGAAGCGCTCGGGGCGGCACCAGCAGCAGACGACGACGGTGGTGAGCGCGTTCACCACATTGCAGCCGGCGCAAGAGGCAGCGCTGATGGCGTTCGAGAAGTTCGTGGACGAGTACCACTACGCGGGCGAGCGGTCGGTGGAGAATCGGCTGAGCTGGTACTCGTGGTGGAATGGGCGCAACAAGGCGCACTTCGGCGAGGTGAAGGAGATCGCCGAGGACATGAAGAAGTGGCCGGCGAAGTGGAAGGGGCAGCCAGCGGAGGCGCGCTACGAGAAGATGGTCGAGGCGATGGAGGCGGTGAAGGCTCGCCTGCCCAATGGCTCGCTCTTCCTCGTGGACAAGGCCAGCCTGCCGCCCTCAGCGCGATCTCGCGCCGTCAGCTCGCCGGCGCCAGCGCCATTCAAGGTGTTCGTGCTCACTGAGAACCATTGGAGCTGGTCCAAGCCCGTGGACGTGACCAATGTGCTCGCCATCTTCACCTGCTTCGCGCAGGCTCGCGCCGCCGGCGTCGATGCGTACCACGCTTACATCCACTCGAGCCTCCAGGAGCGCAAGCGCCTCAAGTGGGACAAGCCCGGCAGTGCCTACGATAAGATGCTGAAGAATGTGCTCGCTGACAAAGTCGCCTGGGAGAAGACGGCCCGCGAGTTCGGCACCAGCTTCAGCATCGACGAGTGCTACCTCTACCCTCGCGGCGCCTACTTCCGCCACCAGGACGAGGTTCTCCCCCAGGCTCAGGATCTCCCATCGCTCCCGCGCGCCGGTTCATCCCTCCGGGGATCGTACCCTCCCGCAGCAGCAGCAGCAGCAGCAGCGCAATCTGCCTCCTCGACTGCTGCAGCTGCTGCTGGCGATGGGGAGCAAGCTCGAGCTGCAGAAGATGGGCCCAGGGCTCATGGATTCATCCGGAGGACGTACGCCATGAACCCGGAGAAGAAGAAAGATGAGCGAGCCGGAACCGAAGGCAGCGATGGGGGAGCAGGAGCAGGAGCAGGAGCAGCAGCAGCAGCAGCATTGGGGACGGCGGCGGCGGCGGCGGGTGGGGGTGGGCGATTGAAGGGGATTTTGCAGCATCGTCGCGGAGATGGAGAGCGAGTCCGAGATGCGGAAGCTGTGACAGAAAGCGGGCGGCACGCCGCTGCGGCTCGCGGAGATCAGCATGTGAGGTTCGAGGATGAGAGACGAGAAGGCCATGGCGAATTCGAGGGCGACGACGATGCGGGATTGAAGAAGAGGAAGACGTGGAAGACGTGGATGCCGCCGCAGCATCAGCAGCAGGAGGAGGATGATGTGATTGGAGGCGGAGGCGGAGGCGGAGGAGGAGGAGGAGGTCCGAAGGCAGCAGCGCGAGGTCATCATCATGAGACCGACCGCCGGCGAGAGAATGAGCGCGCGAACCTCGGCCGACAGGAGTCCGGCCTTCAGCAGGACGAGGTTGCAATTACCGAAGAGAAGGACGACATTGTGTACCATCGAGCGTACGCGTATGTCGCGAGCACCAAGCGGCCGAACGAGGACGCCGAAGAGCAGCAGCAGCAGGTCGATCGGACTTCCGCCTACACGGGCGACGACGAGCTTTCTACGGAGGAAGCGGATTACGAGGTCGAAGATTTCGTCGAGGCCGACGATCACCTCGACGATGTTCGACGCTGGGTCGATGAGCAGGCCGACGTCGTCTTCGGCGTCGAAGGCTACGAAGATGAAGACGAGGACCAGTTCGAAGAGTCGATTGCCGGCGAGAAATCCTCTCGAGACGACGAGGAGGTTCTCTCCGAAGTGGACGACGACCAGCCCGAGCTCGACATCGATGGCGGAATTTTGTCAGAAAGTCGTCGTCGTCATCATCATTACCATCATTCCGCCTGGCGTCGGAATGATCCTCCTCCCCCGAACGAAACCTCGGAATGTGAGGACGAGGAGGAGGGCCTGTCGGAAGTGGATGATGACCAGCCTCAGTACCCGGCCACGAGCGACGTGGACGAGGGCGGCATTCTTCCAGAAGGAGATGGCGATCAGTCCGATCACCACCCCGCCAAATCTGCGAAATCGTCCGGGGAAGACGACGAGGATGCGGATGCGGATGAAGTGATCGATTATGCTCCCCCGAGTGAAGGCGAAGACAAAGGCGAAGAAGATGCCCAGCTCGACGAGGCCGGAGGTCAAGACGAAGAGGTTCTCGTTCAGCATGTGCAGGATCAGCGCAAGCGACATTGCGCCAGCAATTCCTCCGAACTGGACAGCGACCGCGATCATCAGCAGCAGCAGAAGTATCCCGCGTCGAAATGGGAGTCAGGCGACTTCGAAGAGGAGCACGAGCAGCTGAAACGCCCGTGCAGGAATACTGTCCGCGACAGGCAGCGGGAGGATCGGCCTGCGGGCAACGAGAGGCATCGAGGAAGTGTGGAGTACTACTTCACCAGCGAAGGCTATGCGGTGCCGAAGGAGAAGTCCGTAAAATGCAGGGAATTGCGATCGGGGATGGTCGGCGGTGGTCGATCCAGTGGGGAAGAACCCGTCGCAAGGGAAGAAGCCCATCGCAACGAGAAGATTGCAGCAGAGCCGAAAGCGAAAGACGAGGAGGAGCCCGATGAGTCGATTCCTAGCCCTTCTGCTGTGTTGCCGGACGACACTGTCGGTCGCCGACGAGAAGCTCCGCATCTGGACCTTGTGCTCAAGCGCAATCGGAACCATGCGTTCCTCAAGGCAGACGATACTTCTTCCGAGGACGGCTTCGGACGAGGTCCTGTCGGAGGAGGCTACAAAATCCCTTCGTGACTAGGACTCATCGTCCGGATGAAGAAGATGTTCAGCCGCTACAGGGCTGGTCCGGACGAGGATTCTTCATAATCTCGCAGTTCTGCGCAGTTGTGCTCCATTCTCACTCGCAAAAGTCCCCGATCATCATCACGGTACTCCAACAATCATTCCAGTCTAAATCCCCCAGATCTGCTCTGCTGCCTGTGTTCTGTTTGTTTTGGTTCTTGGATCCTAACATTCTCGTTCACTTTAGAGTAGCTCACGGTGTCACCCTTTTTGTCGTCTGGAATTCGGAGAGCACTTCGACATGTATGCCGAATTCGAATGATTTGTGATACTGACCAAGAGATTCATGTGCAGTGGTAAGAGAAGTAACCAAAGAATCAGCCGACAAGCATGGAGTGCATGGAGTGCAGTACGTACCTATAAGAGGTATGAAGCCTGGAGAAAAAGCTCCAGCGGTTGTTTTCACCCTCTGTACAGAAGTGTTACCGACAGCGATTATCAGATACAAGGAATTGGACTTTGTTGGGGAGAATGTGTACGTAGGCCGGTGCCGAAAACTTCCTCGGTCGACGGTGGCAACCGACGCCAGCTTCGATCGTAGTGACGCATCGTCTCTGCGGATTCACGTATTCACGTAGTACCTCCAAGTCTGGTCAACTGGACTTGGAGGATTTGTGGGCTCCGAGGGAGCTCCTCGAGTTCAAAGTGAGCCATCGATAGGTAGGAGGTGGTTTGGTGTAACGAGTGTGCCTGTCAGAATGACATGATGGATAGGTTAGGTTCTTCTCCAATTTTTTTGGTCTGACGAGAGTTGGACCTCAAGTCATCAGCTCTTCTCTGCAGAAATTGTACAAATGTCATGTATAAACTTCTTTCTTCCGACTTCAGGGACCTTTCCAATCCAATGGCTACTGTGGACATGAACATCTGCCGTACGCTAACTTTTCCTAGCGTATATTCTTATTGCAGTTAACACGATTGCCACGAGATTGACTTTTGTGCTCCTGGGTATTTCCTGACGAGCCTGCTCGCAGAGTGAGAATGCCGTCTGTCTCCAGCATATGGATTTCATTGTACCAGACTTTCGGTAATGTTGGAACTTGAATTTCTACCACAGAAACACTTTTGATGGTCTCAAGTGGATCGGCTGTAGGATTGTAATTAGTCGGTATTTTATAGGTCTGTATATTTCCATCTCCGAGAATCGAGCTTCATACGAACACGTTGGAACAAGAGATGTTTGTCACAAGTGTAGGCTGCAGAGACAACTGAACAGCACGGGTATTGCGAAGAAGAGGTACGCCTTCGCGTAGGACGCCAGTATGTACAAACTCTCCAGTTCTTGTCCAAATATGAAGTTTCTAGGAAACGTATCCCCTGACGTGATCACAGTTTGGAGGGATAGGATATTATTATTTTGAATACATAATACTTAAAATTGGACGTCCAGTGCTAGTACCGAATAATAAGCGCCTGTTCCACAGGGTGTGCGTTCGCATGTTGGAGGTATGGGTGCGCACTCCCAACGAGTGTCTTGTAGTGTGGGATATCTGTACCGTACTACCATTTTACTTGACTAGGTGCTTGAAATGTTTACTCACGGAACTCGAAGGGTGCAATCTCACAGCTGTAACCCAGTTTTTGGCAAGCAGTTTAGGCAAAATGATAAATTGCATTGTTGCTGTTTAATTTCCAGATACTCGACCTCATACATTCAATGACGTCCCGAAGCAGTGTCCATGTTTGTCAAATCCTCCTCGACTCGTACCTTGGAACAAAATAATCGAACTGTCTTGAAGTGTGTGAAGTTTTGCTAACCCCAACCATCACTGAATTCAAATGAACGTGACTCAAATTTTCGCAGAGAAAGGCATAACATCTGAGCGTCGTACACATCTTCGAGAAAGGTCAGTCGACCACGGCAGCCATAATTACAGCTCGTGCAGTGCAGTGACATACAGACCTTCGCTAATTAGACTGCAGGCTAGAACAACCCCGACCGTATGCCATCCGGACATATAATTAGAAGACAAAATGGCCGGACAGCCGAGACTTGTCTTTCACTTTAACCAGCTGGGCAGTAAAAACATAAACAGAGGGACAGCCTAATCTTAAAATTTATCTGGTTGCTGTAACGACAAATTCAAGGTGCCGTTACAATGAGCGCATGGAAGGCCAAGCACTTACTGCACATGTGTAAAGCCGAATCCAAGTCCAAGATTTAGCTGGGTACAATGAGATACTGTAGCTCTACCATGTTGTAGAGAGAGCAGATCACAAGTGTGCGGACCTCTCTGACCCTTCGGTCCACTGGAGAAAGTCGATGACAGAGCCCTTTTCAACTTCTTTTGGCCTTGGACTCTTCTACCATATCACCAACCTGTGTCATCTGCTGCCAGCTGTTTTGGCTGGTAGATGCGAAGAATACCTGATTCTCAATTACCGATATATGCTTCATTACAGGAACTCCTCGATGACAACCACAATTGCTGTGAACGCTAACTGTGTAATGCCTGCAAATATCTTTCTCATTCGGTCATCAGATGTGCGAATCTTCGTGTTTTTTCATGAGCTTTACTCTGCGTAGTATCACATTTTAAGCTCCGACTAGGTAAGGCATTACTCTGTAAATTCGCAAAAGCTGTGAATCTGCAGTGTACAGTACTGAAATAACAATCAAAGCGGGATCAACAGAAGGCTTTCTCCTAAATTTAATTGGTTCCACCGAACAACAGATCTAAGGGAAAAGCTGGCTTTCTTGTGTGTCAGATTACAAGTCCTGACAAGGGATTATATATTTGACTCGCACGGTGACTTCATGTCAATATTTTGGCCAGTGCAGCAAACGGAGCACTTTATGTATGCCATGAAGCTCAAGATTTGGGAAAAGAGCCTAGACAAAAACAAACAAAAGTAAAAGTCCAACCAGAGGTTGGACGATCAGGGTGGCGTTGTCGGCTGCAGTCGCTGTCAACATATCCAGCCGATAGGAAATGTAATCAACCAGAGCTTACTGAAATGGATAAACAATTTCTCCGCTGTGCCGGGCCTTGTCGTCTTTCGACTTGAACCTCTGGCATCAACAGACTCCACGTTGAAACAGACCGTCGCTCCAGAGTCCCTTGTTACCATCGTACCTCTGTCAGGCCGGGTACGCTGAGACCTAACTAGAAAATGGAAGAGCAGATGTTGTATTTGGGATTGTCTCTAGCTACGATATAACACACGGTTAGAACAGCCCACATAGTTCCTGCCATGGGACGTAAATTGCACTCCACATCCCACATTACTGATCGACATCATTGTATTATCAAGTGGTAAAACTAAGGTTCCGGCTGATGAACCCAATTCGAAGAAGCTGTGGAAGATGTTTTATCAGAGTCCCATGGTCATATCTTGCTTCGCAATATGTACTTTCAGAAAATTGACATAAACTCTAGCAACAATCTCTTCGAAATGACCGAACGCTAGCAGAGATAGTATGAAGCGATTTCACGAAACGGTAAGGAGTTACACGAATCTGCGCAACCTACCAGCACTCATTTGAGATATATATGGATGGAAGTTTGCAAAGATTTTGTCGGGTGATGTGCTGGGTCGTGCTGGGTCCGAACATTCTGGACAGTTGGGAGCACAGAAAGGACATGCCCTGTGCTAAATTAGTCTTTAGCGTAAATTTGTGATCATTAAATCTGAAATTGGAACGTCAGTTTTGCCTGCAAGGGAGGCCAGGGAGGCTCACTCAGCTGTCTCCGTAGTCACGTGCGTTCAATCTGAGCAGAGAGTCTGCTTGCTGCAAAGCAGTTTCCGAGTTAAAAGGCCTACTGGGCGAAATATTATTCAGTCCTGGGCAGTTCCAGTGACAGGAGTACTTCAGCTGTAGGTCCAACTCGACTTTCAACTCACGTAGCATAGCGAATATGTGTTGTCGTTGGCACAGATCACGTTGTAGGAACAGCAGCTTCGGATTTCTGTCCAGCTATGGCTCGAGTGAGAACATGACGAGATCTCATATGCATCCATAGTCTTGATGTTGGACACCTGAGCTGGTACACATCGTGTCGTTGTGTCACCGAGATTTGGACGCTCTGATGGTGAGCAAAAGTTACCATGACAAAGAGCAGGTACTGAAGTGATGCCATACAATGGTGGTGGATTCTGCGAGTGAATTCCACCTCCAGACACGTTAGATTGCGTGTGGGAATGCGTGTGAGGTTCCTTCCGTTCCTTACGTTCCTGTCGGGACAATCACCGTCACCAGCACAAGTTCATCCATTCCCTTGTCCTCACATGATTTCCATCAGTTGTACAATAATTCCCAAACAATCTTCGTTGGAGTAATCTCCTCCTCTTCTTCGTCACGTCGCTCTCAAATGGCTTCCAATGACTGCGATTGAAACGTGAAACCTCATTGTAAGCAGCTGATCAGCTCGGCAAAGAAAGAAGGGGCATGTATGGGAAGACCCCATTAATCGAGCTTAGGGACAGAGGTCTCCTTTCCAGTGGATGGGGCTCCCTTGCACTTTAACTGTAACATGTAACCACGTAGTCAGGTGGTACTGTGGATATGAGGCACGTGTTAAACGAACTGCGTACCCGTGGCTCAAGGAGTTTCGAACCTCAGCTTTGTTGTTGCGATCCTGTGCCAACGACTCTGTAGTACAGTACTCGAAGGGATTTCTTTGTTTTTCATCAACTTGGAGATCATTTTTGTTCGGTGAGTGGATGGATACAGCAGCAGCAGCCTGAGTATCAACTCTTTTGTAAGTACGAAATTCTGATCTCAGCAAGTTAATGATGGGGTCGTAGTCAGATTTTGTTCTTAAACTTATTCTCAGTCCTATCTAGGTTTGACCTATCTTGGCCATATCTAACATCGGTGAAAAAGATTCACTGAATGATGCAAAGTTATTATTGATTGAGCTCGCCTACTCCTGTCAAATCTTTTGACCAGGTGAAATCCGTCTTTGTGCATCATATTAGAGACATCATGTTGTAACAATACATAAATACAAAAAAATTAACAAATAAACCCAATAATGATTTCGACAACAAAATTGAGAAGACAAATAGATTATTTTGGTAATTGATACATTTTAGAGTATTATTGAAACTCTACTTCCGAAAGACAACGTATCTAGAGAAGATTTTTAGAAAATTAAATCAGTGTCCGTCATACTGATAATTCTTCAAGTAAATCATTTAAATAATGAAACATTAACGCCCATTAATTTTATTATTGAAAATTACTAAAATATCAAAGAAATAGAAAAATAATCATGATTTCAAGTATTGTAAAGACATGTGAATTTCGTTTATTTATACGTATGAAAAGGAGGAGTGTAATCATTATATATTTTCTTCGGAAAAAAGCTAATAACTACACAAAATGTTGAAATTCAAGAAATAAAAAATGATGTTAAAATAGACTGTTGATTTTGAAGATAAATTTCATAATTTTGCAACTAAATTAAGTATGTAGAAGACTGTATTTCTAATTAAAAATTTCACGGACCATCCATAAATATAAAAGAAAGTGAAAAAAGAATTTATTGTTAAAGAGATAAACTATATAGCTATTGAAAGATATTTAATCATTTTATAGATATATTTTTAGCAATGTTGCACTTAGTAAATTCTTATTTTTTAGATTTCAGAAAGGTGCTAGGTTTCAAAATATAGAACCAAACCTGTGTATTTATTACAATTGTTTGATTTCTGTTTGATGTTGGCAAAAAAATCATCTGTTCGTTAGGTGCTTTCAGATTCAAAACTATTTTATCTGAACACTTCTAAAATTTTCTTTCGAAATGAAGACAAATGTAAATCTGCATTTAACATAAGATTCTTGATATGTATTTTCTTGAATCAAAGTTTTAGAAAACATATTCATGTTTCAAGTTAATGATTATATAAAGTTCTGATTTTTCTAATTTGTTAGGTGTGTATGATATTACACATACCTGTTTCGAAAATAAAAGTAATGAATACATAAATTTCTCCTTTTTTTTGATTTTTATATCAAAAGCTTGTATACAATAAATTTGCATCTCTATACACTTTTAAATTGAAATCTTCTTGTTGAAATTTGTCCACATTTTGTTATAAAATAATCTACAGATTTCTGTAAGATAAATAATAGAGTTTTATCGGTTCCTACCTTGAAAGAAACTGATTTTATTTTGTAAAATGTATGACTATAGAAGCTAGATGATTGATTTGAAGATAATCAACCTTATTATCATGGACCTTCTTTCCTCTTTCAAAATGATGATAATCATTGTGAACATCCTTTCTTTTATATGCATGCAGTTGTAGGCAAAAACTTCCTCTTTAGCTCCAGTTTGTGATTCTTGGATGAAAATCAGAAGCTTTACTCTTTGCAGTCGGTACTAAATGATTTCATCTTCATACTGAATCTTACTTTCAATGTCATTAATAAAATAGCAACTCTACCAGTTCTCATTCCCCTCTTCCACCTTCTAGACCCAAACTTTCCGTTTTCATTGTGTCCAAATCTCTCTATCCAAATCACAACTGATAACTGAATCCACAGGAATGACTGCAAAGGATCTCTCCTAGAATGAAGCTGTAGACGAGCTTCCATTCTTCTCTCCAATTCAATCATTGAGTACAACCATAGCTCGTTCAGACTCACATGGTTGATACAAATCCATGAATATATGTACACTCGACGTTATGTGTTGGTGATGTTCATCATCCAAGTACGTAGTGGAGAATACTACAGTTAGAAACTCTCGTAATTTGCAATAACAATCCTCAGCATACTTTGCCAGAGCTATTCGTAAAACTAAACCTTTTTCTAATCTAGCGTCATGTCTTAAAAGTTAATAAAATGACAAGATGTACATATAAAACAGGTGTTAGCTTTCCAAGAAATTCGACATGTTTTTCCAGTGACAGGTAAATCCAAAAGGACTACAGTAAGACTTTCCACGGGGTTATTGAAACCCCCTGATGCGAGTCTATATTCCAACAACTTCATTGCCCTCCGACAAGCCAGTTCAACATGGTATGTAACAAAAGATGCTGCACTCTTTCCAAAATTCTGATGGCAGCCACTTTCCTCCGACTGCCGACGATTCTAGACGTTTATTTGACCAAAAGAAGCAAAAACAATTTCGCTTCTTGGCTCTAAGAACAACAAGCAATGGGTCGATGGGTGTCTATTCAAAATTGAACCACCAACTCCCGACGGACAAACGAGGAAAAGAATTGGAGTTAGGAAATAGAAAACTCTAGCATTGCAAGCATCATACGACTGTGTATTACTGCAGAAGAGAGACCGTCGCACGACGCATGGATCGAAAGTAAGTATGAACCTCGGTAGGCTCGAAGAACGATGATTTACATCCTGGCCTGCAGAAGTGTACTGAACAAGCTGTTGCATGTCTTTGCTTTGCAACAGTGCAAAATGGACCGAGCGGATTAATAACTGCAAGCTTGAAATAACTCAATTCATTCCTTCCCACGTGCACGAAAAATGCAAAGATTCATTCACTAGCATGGGAGAAAGGAACTTGACACAAGGACGTGGTTTTATTCAGTCCGAAGTAGCGTAGGAAGCAAAGTGCATGGAAGAGAAGTTGTTTGAATGCGACGAGGGAGAAGATCGACTGTGGAAAGAATTCTCAACATCAGTGATTCAAGAGCAAGAGGATTCAGGATCCGCTATCGTGAGCAAAGTCGCAAGGGTCAAGGATGATGTGCCGCCGGACACTCGAAGTGTTCAAGTTCATACGACGGTGACGTGCCTGGGATCGTGTGCACTGATTCCATCCACTCCCTCCCTCCGCTGGAGCAGGTACTCTCAGGGTATACTTCCCCTGCTGCAGCAAACAGATGCCCTCCTGCAGTCCTCCCTACCCGAATCAACAATTTTGCAGTTCTGCAGCAAGCATGATAGCCCAGCATGCGACTCGTTTGCCACAGAGTTCAGAGCTGGGCGGGCAGGCAGGTTAGGTGGTGTTTGCAGAAAACTGTCGTCTCCATGGAGTGGGGTACAGGGGCTCTCATCAGATGACATGTTACTGCGCCGTTTTGGAAACAGAGGAGCACAGAGTAGTGGAGTCCTGTGGTCCAACGACCTCCGAAGCACAGATGATATTATGGGCATTGTACGATGAAAGTACGAACATGTTCTCAGCCCTGGCGCCATCTCTGTGCACCTGCTGCAGCAGTGGCAGAGTTGCTGTACGTCGTTGTCGCTGTCGTTGTACATACATGGAAGAGGAAGGTGCACTGCCCTTCTCATACCTCCTGCCACTTCAGAGCTCGGTCGTTCCTTGGACGGAAGGAAGGAAGGCGGCTAAAGATAGTCGCTGACGAAGCTCTGGGTGGCGATTTTTGTTCCTGCTCGCGTTCATTATCCTCGCAAGGCGAGCGAGTCCTGCGTCGCATTGCGATCAGGTTCAGATAAACATCGCACGCAGAAATGTCGATGAGGAAGAATTAGGCCCAGCGAGTCCGATCCGAGCGACCGAGGTTCGTTCACACGAGCTACGGTTGTCGGGATCGATGGATGTAAGCAGATGCTGTCCACGAGGATCGGAGCAGGAGATTTGATTTTCTGCGACACCTTTCGAACCTGGCTCGAGCTCTTGTCTTGTCACGGACACGATGATGGCTGTCTCTGGGTGAAACGCTTTTCTTGCAGTAATGGCCAAGCCAGGACGCACGTCTGTGATCGAAGCGAGTGACTCCATCTCTTTCCCCTTCTTGCAAGGCCCTTCGTCGGGCCCACATGATCAAGTCATTCCCGACACTTGTCCTCGAGCGCCATCTCTAAAATCTCGACATCACAAGTTTCACAAGGCGACGACGAGGCTGTCACGAGCAATGTTCCTTGAAATTCTCTCGTATTTGCTAGCTTTGACATCTCCCAATTTCCTTTCGTGGTTCTTCTCTCACTTTCGGAGTTATGGTCGACCCCGTCTGATCTGATCTACACTCATCTCAATTCACTGAAGAGTTCACTGGGATCGGGGCTTTCGATGCCCTCCACACATCTGAAGAGTGGACTAGGGGGCAAATCCGTAAGGTACAAAGCTTGGATCGCTTGCAGAGGTTTGATGTTCCTGAAGAGAGTTGCAGTCGCGCAGAAATCGTTGCCTTGCAGCATCCGGCATCAGAGATGGATATCGGCGAGCTCGACGGCGATGCTTCGACGCAGGTTCTCGCGGGATCTTGAGGAGAATGCCGATTCTGAGAAGCTTACCCGAACAGAGGTTCTCCAGATGTGGCAAGACGCCAACGATCTGTGCGCTTCTTCTGAAATCCAGTCTCGTCCGAACACAGCCTGGACTTCTGATTGTGACTCTGCCCTCGTGACGATCCCCCGGAGTCCGTGGAGGAGATTCATCAGCAAGTTTCGTTATCAGAAAAAACGTTTCCAATCCCGCAGGGAATGCGGATCAGTGCAAACGATCAGCTTCCGAGAGAGACTAAGAACCTGGCTGCATATTCGAGATTCAGCAAGGTGGCCACAAGGCTAGTGACGGTGACAGCCATGGAATCGGGACTCCCATCCAGCTGTAAATTCGATCCTTGGATTTTCGTTGTTGATTATGTGTCCGTGTGCGTGAAAAAACAAAAAGAAGATCATTGTATCGCCATGTCACAAGTTGGTTTCAAACTCAATTCACTCGATCACATGTTGAGGACTGTTTCTGTTCTGTGAGTTCTGGTTCAGTTGTTGAGCTGCAAAGAAGGATGTTCCACATCGTTTGAGAACTGAACTGATGTGAATGCGCCTACTTGGCAGGAAGAGTTCTCGACACCGTGTTGTATGGTTGTGATCGAGGAGCCATGGAAAGTAAGTTCAGAAAGCACCAAGGCAGACCACTTGTGTGCGCTAGTGCTGACGGCCCATCGAGATCAGGAGTGAACAACTTGTCAATTCTATGGCAAGATGCACGAAACCACGAACAAACTTTTCGACGTGGTCATTGTTCGTCGTCTCCTTCGGCCTCCGCCCTTGTAAAATGGTGCTTATTGAGCTGCGGACCTGCGATTTGTGTCGCTGTCGCTATCGCTATCGTTTGAAGTAACGATCTCTGCATGTTCAGAGGATTGTGAAATTCCTCGAGTGATCTCGGTGATTGAAGTGGCGGATCGGGTTGGATGTGCAGGGTGCTGATGTTGTCAAGGAAGCCGTTTTGGGGGTCAAGGACGCAGTGACGGGCCAGAATCCACCTCAGTAAACAGGGCCTGGCTCTGTCCTCAATGTCCTTCAAACCTTGGAAGGCTATGCGTAGCATCGGCCTCCTGTTCTGTGCTTGATGATGGGAAGTAGAATGCGGAGCCTCCTTGTACAGCGCCGTCCTTTTGTAGAAAGCATTTGAGTTGAACTTGAGTTATTTGTTGTGAATAATAAATATATAAGCACACATTGTGTCACCCAGTTTCCCTTGTCCATGGAGATTTCATAGACCCGGTGAATTTCTTTAAAGAGAAGAAATCTGTCTGTCAGCGAAGTCCACTTTGTTCAAAATCGTATGATACTTATTGCATGTGGTCTCATAAGGTTTTCTCTCACGTTTAGGTGCTTTGTTTTTGCATCGAATGTTTATTGCAGAGCTGTATCAATTACGCGTGGAGTTTTACATGCTGCAACTTGGGTGAGCAAATGTTTGTTTGTTTCAGTTACGAATCTATCCACAAAAATAGCGTTTATAATCTCACTCACGACTCTACTGAGTAGAAAAAGAGGAACATTAATGCAGTTACAAATGCAATTAATGCAGTCAAAATTCATCCGAACGTCTCTTGTACTTACCAAATTATATTTTGTTTATCTCGTTGAAAAATTGGCTAAAATTAAAAATGAGACCGAAATATGAAAATTTTCCGAGAATGAAAGTGAGCATAATATGAAAATAATATTGTGAAATGTGCAGACAGTGCCAGATGCACAAATTCTGTCATGAAGTAAGGATAAAATTATCGTGACAGTTACCTCCTCTAACAATTTTCGAGATAATTTCACTCTCTCCATCTCCACGTCCACCATCTCATGTCAAAAATACGGGCAGATTTGCTCCATCCACTTTCAATTCGTATTTGCACTCATAATTTGCAATTTCACGGCCCTTATCCACATCTTCCACTTCCCCACTGTCCCACATTCTCCAGTCTTCAAATCTGATGTTCCACCTTGTCCACTAATTCGAATAACAAGATGTCTCTCTAGAATGGAGTTAAATTCATCTTGATTCCTAGTCCTAGCCTCAAAGCCAAGTGAATCACCTAATTTAGGGGAATTTATGTGATCAAGTAAATCACATAAATTCCCCTAAAATCGCCTCCCACCTCCAAGACAGTCACACACAGAATTTAACATGATCAGTGGGTACTCCTACCCACATTGTCGTGCATGTGCATTATAATGTTGCACCTGAATATATACTAGGCACGATATGTGGTTGCAGTTTGCTGCTACTATATGGACCTCGTGAGAAAGACAGTACATCTTTCGATATTATTCAGGATTTGTTCGATTTTGTCTCGTGAGAATATAAGACTGACCGTGCCAGGCCTAGAGCCAAGTGAATGAACGAGAATCTTGTGTAGTTTTGCCATTTAATTGGTGACTGAAAACGCGACGGAGAAGAATCTTGTGACTGAACTGGAGCTATGAAGGTACCTGTTCTGCAACCGTTCAAGCTTCATTACTACTAGCATATCCGTCTCGAAGCATATTTCCTGGCTGCAATCCAGCGTGCCTATGTTTGCTTGCGGATTCACTATCCTCATAATCACTCCAAGGAGCAGAGACGCATGCCATCACTACTTTTAGGATTTCTTAAAACCCCCTCTTGTCACAATCAACATTCACTTCCCATGGAGTGCTTCCTCACTCCTCGAATATCCTTCTGAAATAACAGCATATCCGAGCGTAGTGTACAGCAGCTCGATTACGGCACGGCCAGAATTTAATCGCATCCCTGATTAGCTCAATGGCCCACCATAGTATCCTGGTTCAATCGATAGTCAAAAGTTGTTGCGAGGTTGTGAACTCTGGAAACTATGCGGTCACGGTTGCATCAACTCCAGCGTCTGATGCGCTACATGGTCGAGAGTGTGATATGCTCTGGACCGATCCGATCTTGTGGCAAAGTCGATCCTCGACTTCATATGAAGCAGAGCAGTCCATGACTTAGACTCGAGGGTTCCGATTTTCTTAACATGCTCGTTTTTCGAGGATACCCTAAGGATGATCTCGTTGTCCACTGATGATAGCAATCGGTCGATGGCGGGCGTGATGCCTTTAGAGACCAGGGAAACTCTCCGATAAGCATTTACTTCCTGCCCTGCCCTCCAATCCTGCAGTGGCAATTACATGGCCAACGATTGATTTCCGAGGATTTCTGCGGTTCCTGACGATCGCTAATTCGAGATGACCTGCAATGTGGAGGGGCAAGACGACGGATCTCGTGACCGCAAAACAGACCCGCCACGCTGCTCTGCGTCTCTCGGGGCTCCTGTGCGACGGAATCCGGAAGACGTGTACGCAGGACGGAAAGGAACAGAAGGGGCGGGCGAGCACGAGTAATGACCCTGACTGACAAGCGAGATCACGTGGCTCTGGTGGCTCAGGTGGCGACTCTGGCCTCAGCAGATCAGCCATCTCGATCTCCGAGAGCAGAAGGTCGTCGCCGGCCTCACGGATCCTACATTCCTCACTCCCCTTTGACTCACCTCACTGACCGAAGCCTGAGCTCAAGCTTCAGATTCTGAAGAGCAAGAGTCGTACCACTCACTATAAAGATATGATACAGTACGTGCATTGTGAGAGTTACGGCAGCAGTGTAGTGAATCTGAGCGCTGAAAAACCTGGACTCGAGGGCATTGGCACACGCTGAGCTGAAGTTCATCTGAGTTCAGGAGGACATGACTGAGATGGACGTCCAAGACAAAGAACGAAAAGGATGGAGGCCCTGCTTGGCTTACAAAGAACTGAGCTGAGCTGAAGGGCGAGGTCCATGAATTTTGCATTGCATCGTCTCGAGACATATTTTTTAATTTGCTGCCCTTGTGCCCTTTATCCTCGGCTTGACTCGACAACTCTTCCGCAATAGCCCTGCAGATGTGAGCAAGCCATGATCAGCGAGGAGTACGACTGCGATTTCCATACATTCCACATGCAAACTGGATGGATGAGCTTCAGCATATGCGATAAACTTGTAAGCCTTAATTAAACTCGAGCGGGACGATTAGCATTATTTACATCAGAGATTCCACCACAGCGATTCCCGAGCGAGGAATCTCTGCCATCATGTAAGTTCGTTCGGCCATCGCTGTCTGGCCGAACGAACGGGATCTGAGGCCCGAGCAGAGCGCCGACTGCAACAATGACCAGCGTCAACGGGATTTTGCATACGCACGCCCTCATGCACTCAGAGGTACATCGAGGCACGCAAGCGAGCAAGCCAAGCGAGGCCAGCAGCTTAGCGTTTCATGTACTCGTACGCATAGCAGCGTAAGGGGGCAGCTATCGAGTGTAGTGTAGTTTAGTGCAGTTCAGTTCAGCCGAATTTGTAGAAGGACCACTTTTGCGCTGAATGGTGTCGAGTGAAAAATGCACTCGTTCATTCTACGCCACAGTCAAGTGAACATGCGATCACACGTTCAAGTGAACGGCGAAACTTGTGCCACATGCTACTGACGTAAATGAGCCACTGTTGGTCCAAGCCATGAGGACGAGTGAAATAAAATGGAGAATTGGAGATTTAGTTTTCATTCTTCCAGCAGCAACTGCAGCCCTTGGGCTCGAAGGCTGGAGGGTCGAGAGTCGGCAGCCTTTATCGACTTTCGTTCTTCGACGGTCTTTCGAAGGTCTGGTTGACCCTCCGTCTAGGAATCATAGTCAGGAATCATCGTCAGAAATTGGTCGTCTGTGTTGATCTGGGAGCAAGAGGATCGGAATCATGTCGACTACAACTGCCTCTTCCAGTCCCGACGCGTTCACCAATTTGCTGATTCTGCTGCCCACGGGCACCTTCGTGTCGTTCACCATTCTGGCCCCGATCATCACGAACAATGGAGACTGTCACACGTCGGAGAAAATCGCCACAGGAGTCATTCTGGGCGTGTTCGCCTTCTGCTGCGCGTTCTCGAGCTTCACGGACAGTTTCGTGACCAGCAAAGGCAGCATATGGTACGGGATCGTCACCCCGAAAGGTCTCTGGAGCCTGTTCTACCCCAAGGACATTCCTGGAATCGAGGGCAATTTTTACGTGGGAGCGGGAGACCAGGACAAGTACAAGCTGCATCTGGCGGATTTCTTCATCGCCATTCTGTCCGTCATCTCCTTCGCCACCTTGAGTCTGCTCTGCACACCTTTCACCGACTGCTTCTTCCCGGACATTCCTTCCAATATTCTCAAGAGCATTCCCATCCCCGTGAACTCCGTCATCGGCCTGCTGTTCTCCTTCGCTCCGCCGGCACGAAATGGAATCGGGAACGGAGTTCGCGTCACCACGACCACCACGAAAGACCTGCCTATCGAAAACCCACCGAGTTCCTCAGACAAGAGTTCGCTGGAGCCAATTCTGCCCGCGAGTGAGGACAGCTTACAGTCTACTGATACGAGTCAAAAGCAGGAGACTGTCCAGGAACGACGTCCACAAGAAGGCGAATCCATCGTTTAGAGCCGATTCATTCATAGATCAGACTGTACATATGTTAGCATCACTGGAAGCGCACGAGCTCATCATTCCCTGATTCATCTTCCGACGAATATAAGTCGTGCTACTCCAGAAGTGATCGCTGCGGTGGCCATGCATAGCTCGTGGACTCGAGTTTTCCCCAGGCAGAAAGTGAACCACGGGTTACCATCAGCCTCGACCACCTCCATCATCATCATCGTCATTCTATTGCATAGACGCACCGGTACTCAGGTTTCTAAGTCTGTCCAGATAACATGTTTGTTGTATACATCGTACGCTGACGATCGAGGTAGAATGATCGCATATGTCCTTGTACTCTTGCTCCGAGTACGTGATCCCGATTAAGTTTGAATAAAGATGCTATGAAGAGGTGACGAAGGCAACCCTCTCGCTCGTGTTTCGTTTTCTTCTCGTGTGCCTTTACTGGATAAAAAAATCAAAAGGTGACTGCATTGGAGGTCCGCCGGAGCTTCGGTGAGAGATTATTCTAAATTGTTCCAGGAGTGCGAAATGTTTTGTGCTCATCCCTTTTCTTCGTCGACCTCAACCCAAAGGGTGTCGTCATAGGCCAACATAGGCCCACGTAAGGAGGAGACTCGACCTTTCAACAGATTATATGGTGACCAATAGCCACGACATGAATCTGATTCATATAGATTGGTAAGGTGTTGTAACCAGCGGTGCTTCTCCCTCGTGCAGGACCCCCGGGACATAGAAGAAGACGACACACTTCCATCAGGAGAAGTCTTCATAAGCAGCAAGAAAGGAAACATAGTCTTCATTGCACCAGATTCTATGGCTCGAATGACGTCTATCTGGGGTCCGGATGCTGCACAGTTCAACCCAGATCGTTGGCTGCAGAGTGGCAAACTGGCGCCAGCATCTGACAGCAAGTTCGTGACGTTCCAGGTAGGTTCCCTGACTTATATCAGCAGACTTGAAACGCATTCAGGTTGAGTTATGGTAGGGAGTCAGAGACTGCTCACCTTCACCGTCAGGGATTGCTGGCTCGACAAGGTCTAGGCTAGAATCATCCTTTCTCGCTATTGGTTTAGTCCTTTCGAGCTCGAAAATGTGAAATGATGTTAGACCTGAAGAACTTTGTGATATATGTGCAGGCGGGTCTTTATACTGGCGCTGTGAAAGATTTGACTTACCAGAGTTGCAAGGTAGCAGCAGCTATTCTCGTTCGGTTTTTCGAATTTATCCGCGCGTGTCCCGTCAATCGTCCTCCCGAATATAGTATGACGTCCACATTGGTGAAGGAGAGCGGCCGTCAAATGTATCCTCGTTTGAAGGAAAAAATGGGAGCTACTATTTAGTTGCGATATTAGTTGTGGAGGAAGTTCGTTCCAGTTTAGATGGCTTTGGCTTTGAAGGACCAAATGGGAGCTACAATCCCACAATGAAAAATGTATTGGATCTTGCATGTGGTCTCATAGGGTTTTCTCTCACGTTTAGGTGCTCTGTTTTTGCATCGAATGTTTATTGCAGAGCTGTATCAAATACTCGTGGAATTTTACATGCTGCAACTTGGGAGAGACATCTTGAATGAATGAATGAATGAATGATTGATTGATTGAATGATTGAATGCTGCAAGACGAGAGATGAGCATATAAGCTCACAGTTCACCGTGTGACGAGGAAGGGCTCGAGAAACTTGAAGAACGGACATAGGATATAATGGCACCTCTACTTACAGCTGGAACATATGATGCATCCTCTGTGGCTTCTCTCACCGAAGCTCCGGTGGACCTCCAATGCAGTCACCTTTTGATTTTTTTATCCAGTAAAGGCACACGAGAAGAAAACAAAACACGAGCGAGAGGGTTGCCTTCGTCACCTCTTCATAGCATCTTTATTCAAACTTAATCGGGATCAAGTACTCGGAGCAAGAGTACAAGGACATATGCGATCATTCTACCTCGATCGTCAGCGTACGATGTATACAACAAACATGTTATCTGGACAGACTTAGAAACCTGAGTACCGGTGCGTCTATGCAATAGAATGATGATGATGATGATGGAGGTGGTCGAGGCTGATGGTAACCCGTGGTACACTTTCTGCCTGGGGAAAACTCGAGTCCACGAGCTATGCATGGCCACCGCAGCGATCACTTCTGGAGTAGCACGACTTATATTCGTCGGAAGATGAATCAGGGAATGATGAGCTCGTGCGCTTCCAGTGATGCTAACATATGTACAGTCTGATCTATGAATGAATCGGCTCTAAACGATGGATTCGCCTTCTTGTAGACGTCGTTCCTGGACGGTCTCCTGCTTTTGACTCGTATCAGTAGACTGTAAGCTGTCCTCTCTCGCGGGCAGAATTGGCTCCAGCGAACTCTTGTCTGAGGGACTCGGTGGGTTTTCGATAGGCAGGTCTTTCGTGGTGCTCGTGATGAGGCGGACTCCGTTCCCGATTCCATTTCGTGCCGGCGGAGCGAAAACGAACAGCAGGCCGATGACGGAGTTCACGGGGATGGGAATGCTCTTGAGAATATTGGAAGGAATGTCCGGGAAGAAGCACTGGGTGAAAGGTGTGCAGAGCAGACTTAAGGTGGCGAAGGAGATGACGGACAGAATGGCGATGAAGAAATCCGCCAGATGCAGCTTGTACTTGTCCTGGTCTCCCCCTCCGACGTAATAATGGCCCTCGATTCCAGGAATGTCCTTGGTGTAGAACAGGCTCCAGAGACCTTTCGGGGTGACGATCCCGTACCATATTCTGCCTTTGCTGGTCACGAAACTGTCCGTGAAGCTCGAGAACGCGCAGCAGAAGGCGAACACGCCCAGAATGACTACTGTGGCGATTTTCTCCGACGTGTGACAGTCTCCATGGTTCGTGATGATCGGGGCCAGAATGGTGAACGACACGAAGGTGCCCGTGGGCAGCAGAGTTAGCAGGTTGGTGAATGCGTCGGGACTGGAAGAGGCAGTTGTAGTCGCCATGATTCCGATCCTCTTGCTCCCAGATCAACACAGACGACCAATTTCTGACGATGATTCCTGACTATGATTCCTAGACGGAGGGTCAACCAGACCTTCGAAAGACCGTCGAAGAACGAAAGTCGATAAAGGCTGCCGACTCTCGTCCCTCCAGCCTTCGAGCCCAAGGGCTGCAGTTGCTGCTGGAAGAATGAAAACTGAATCTCCAATTCTCCATTTTATTTCACTCCTCCCTCATGGCTTTGACCAACAGTGGCTCATTTACGTCAGTAGCATGCGGCACAAGTTTCGCCGTTCACTTGGACGTGTGATCGCATGTTCACTTGACTGTGGCGTAGAATGAGCGAGTGCATTTTTCACTCGACACCATTCAGCGCAAAAGTGGTCCTTCTACAAATTCGGCCGAACTGAACTGCACTACACTACACTACACTACACTCGATAGCTGCCCCCTTACGCCGCTATGCGTAGGAGTACAGGAAACGCTTGGCTTGCTCGCTTGCGTGCCTCGATGTATCTCTGAGGGCATGAGGGCGTGCGTTTGCAAAATCCCGTTGACGCTGGTCATTGTTGCAGTCGAGCTGAGCTGAGCTGAAGGGCGAGGTCCATGAATTTTGCCTTGCATCGTCTCGAGACATATTTTTTAATTTGCTGCCCTTGTGCCCTTTATCCTCGGCTTGATGTGAGCAAGCCATGATCGGCGAGGAGTACGACTGCGATTTCCAGACATTCCACATGCAAATTGGATGGATGAGCTTCAGCATCTGCGAGAGACTCGTAAGCCTTGACTGAACCCAACAAGGGACGATGAGCATTAATTACATAAGAGATTCCACCACAGCGATTCCCGAGTGAGGAATCTCTGCCATCATCGCTGTCTGGACGGGATCGAGGCCCAGCAGAGCGCCGGCTCAGTTCTTTGCATCCTCTCGAGACATATTTTTTAACTTGCTGCCCTTGTGCCCTTTATCCTCGGCTTGATGTGAGCAAGCCATGATCGGCAAGGAGTACGACTGCGATTTCCAGACACTCCACATGCAAACTGGATCGATGAGCTGCAGCATCTGCGAGAGACTCGTAAGCCTTGACTGAACCCAACAAGGGACGATGGGCATTAATTACATAAAAGATTCCACCACAGCGATTCCCGTGCGAGGAATCTCTGCCATCATCGCTGTCTGGACGGGATCGAGGCCCAGCAGAGCGCAGGCTCAGTTCTTTGTGAGTCAAGCAGGGCCTCCATCCTTCTCGTTCTTTCTCTTGGACGTCCATCTCAGTCATGTCCTCCTTAACTTCAGCTCAACGAGTGCCAATGCCCTCTGAATCCAGGTTTTCCAGCGCTCAGATTCACTACACTGCTGCCGTAACTCTCACAGTGCACGTACTGTATCACACCTTTATAGTGAGTGGTACGACTGTTGTACTTCAGAATCTGAAGCTTGAGCTCAGGCTTCCGGCAGTGAGGTGAGTCCAAGTGGAATGAGGGATGTAGGATCCGTGAGGCCGGCGACGACCTTCTGCTCTCGGAGATCGAGATGGCTGACCTGCTAAGGCCAGAGTTGCCACCAGAGCCACGTGATCTCGCTTGTCAGAAGGGTTCTTCCTTTCCGGTCCACGCGTTCACGTCTTCCGGATTCCGTCGCACAGGAGCCCCGAGAGACGCAGAGTGGCGGGCCTGTTTTGCGGTCACGAGATCCGTCGTCTTGCCCCTCCACATTGCAGGTCATCTCGAATTAGCGATAGTCAGGAACCGTATTTCGGTCAAAAACATTCGAAGCAATCGTTGGCCTTGTAATTGCCACTGCAGGATCGGAGGGCAGGGCAGGAAGTAAATGCTTATAGGAGAGTTTCACTTGTCTCTAAAGGCATCACCTGCCATCGACAGATTGCTATCATCAGTGGGCAACGAGGTTATCCTCAGGATATCCTCGAGAAACGAGCATTTTAAGAAAATCGGAACGTTCGAGTCTAAGTCATGGACTGCTCTGCTTCATATAAAGTCGAGGATCGACTTTGCCACAAGATCGGATCGGTCCAGGGCATATCACACTCTCGACCATGTAGCGCATCAGACGCTGGAGTCGATGCAACCGTGACCGCATAGTTTGCAGAGCTCACTGCCTCGCAACAACTTTTGAGTTGAACCAGGATATGATTGAACCAGAATACGGTGGTGGGCCGTTGAGCTAATCAGGGATGCGGTGAAATTCTGGCCGTGCCGTAATCGAGCTGCTGTACACTACGCTTGGATATGCTGTTATTTCAGAAGGATATTCGAGGAGTGAAGAAGCAGTCGATGGGAAGATAATGTCGATTGTGACAGGAGGGAAAGAAATCCTAAAAGTAGTGCTGGCATGCATCTCTGCTCCTTGGAGTGATTACGAGGATAGTGAACCCGCAAGCAAACAGAGGCACGCTGGATTGCAGCCAGGAAATATGCTTCGAGACGAATATGCTAATAGTAATGAAGCTTGAACGGTTGCAGATCAGTTACCTTCATAGCTCCAGTTCAGTCACAAGATTCTTCTCCACAAAGCGCGTTTTCAGTCAACAATTAAATGGCAAAACTACACAAGATTCTCGTTCATTCACTTGGCTCTCGGCCTGGCACGGTCAGTCTTATATTCTCACAAGACCAAAATCGAACAAATCCTGCTTTGAATAATAGCGAAAGGTGTACTGTCTTTCTCACGAGATTAGCCTCAGCACACCTGAATGACGAAGCTATGTTTGCAGATTAGAGGTCCATATCGTAGCTGCAAACTGCAACCACATATCGTGCCTAGTATATATGCAGATGCAATATCATAGTGCACATGCACGACGATGTGGGTAGGAATACCCACTGATAATGTTAAATTCTGTGTGTGACTATCTTGGAGGTGGGAGGCGATTTTAGGGGAATTTACGTGACTATTCACTTGACTTAGAGGCATTACTTGGGAATGAAGATGAATTCTACTACATTCTAGAGAGACATCTTGTTATTCGAATTAGTGTACAAGGTGGAATATCAGATTTGAAGACTTGAGAATGTGGGACAATGGGAGAGTGGAAAATGTGGATAAGAGCTGTAAAATTGCAAATTATGAGTGCAAATACGAATTGAAAATGGATGGAGCAGAATCTGCCCGCATTCCTGACATGAGATGGTGGACATGGACATTTGTAGACGGAGAAATTGAAATTATTTGGAAGGTTGTTAGAGAAGTTAACTGTCAAGTTAATTTTATCCTTACTTTATGACAGAATATGTGTATCTGGCATTGTCTGCACATTTCACAATTTTTTTTCATATTATGCTCACTTTCATTCTCGGATATTTTCATCTTTCGGTCTCCTTTTTAATTTTAACCAATTTTTTAACGAGATAAACAAAATACAATTTGGGAAGTACAAGAGACTTCCGAATAAATTTTGACTGTATTAATTGCATTTGTAAGTGCATTAATCTTCCTCTTTTTCTACTCAGTAGCGTCGTGAGTGAGATTATAAACGCTATTTTTTGTGGATAGATTAGTAACTGAAACAACCAAACATTTGCTCTCCCAAGTTGCAGCATGTAAAAAATCCACGCGTAAATGATACAGCTCAGCAATAAACATTCGATGCAAAAACAGAGCACCTAAACGTGAGAGAAAACCCTATGAGACCTCATGCAAGATCCGATACATTCTTCATTGTGGCATTGTAGCTCCCATTTGGTCCTTCAAAGCCAAAGCCATCTAAACCGGAACGAAGAGGCGTTCCTCCACAACTAATATCGTTACTAAAGAGTAGCTCCCATTTTTTCCTTCAAACGAGGATACACTTGAAGGCCGCTCTCCATCACCAAGGTGGACGTCATACGATATTCGGGAGGACGATTGACGGGACACGCGCGGATAAATTCGAAAAACCGAACCAGAATAGCTGCTGCTACCTTGCAACTCTGGTAAGTCAAATCCTTCACGGCGCCAGTGTAAAGACCCGCCTGCACATATATCACAAAGCTCTTCAGGTCTAACATCATTTCACATTTTCTAGCTCGAACGGACTAAACCAATTGCGAGAAAGGATGATTCTAGCCTAGACCTTGTCGAGCCAGCAATCTCTGACGGTGAAGGTGAGCAGTCTCTGACTCCCTACCATAACTCAAACTGAATGCGTTTCAAATCTGGTGATAAAAATCAGGGAACCCACCTGGAACGTCACGAACTTGCTGTCAGATGCTGTCTCCAGTTTGCCACTTTGCAGCCAACGATCTGGGTTGAACTGTGCAGCATCCGGACCCCAAATAGACGTCATTCGAGCCATAGAATACGGTGCAATGAAGACTATGTTCCCTTTCTTGCTGCTTATGAAGACTTCTCCTGCTGGAAGTGTGTCGTCTTCTTCTATGTCCCGGGGGTCCTGCACGAGGGAGAAGCACCGCTGGTTACAACACCTTACCAATCTATATGAATCAGATTCATATCGTGGCAATTGGTCACCATATAATCTGTTGGAAGGTCGAGGCTACTCCTTACGTGGGCATATGTCTAGCCATGTTATGATATTGCCACCATGATTCTAAGAGCCCTGAAATCCAGGTCTCTTAGAATCATAGTGGCTAGACATAGGCACACGTAACTCGAGGTCTACAAAGATGAAGATGACAATCACGTTCCAAAACCAACTATGAAGGAAGATGTGGCTCATGAGACATACAAGAGGCACCGCGGGGTGAAGCCGAAGAGTCTCCTGAAGGCAAGCATGCAAGAAAGGCAGCTCGTCCAGAGACTCGGAGGTGATCAGCTCAGCAAATTCACGAATTCGTGTGTCCGTCATGCGAACGTAGTCTTCGTCTTGCAGGTCGACATCCCAATACTGCTCCACCGAACATTGACATTCGAATTGTCTCCGGCTCTCATAGTCTCGGAGCTCTAAGTACAGTCTGTGCGACGCATCCGAGTGCATACTCAACTCGTAGACAAGCCACGTGAGTGTCACCCCAATTGCATCCCGACTGGCGATCACGAAGTTGATGACTATATGCCGCAGTAACTCGTCCGTCTGGGGGTTGTCTGCCTGGTCGTCTCTCATCGTCAGGTTGAGAAATTTGGAAACGAGATCACTCGCATACGGTGTCTGCAGGCATGACCACAACAACTGAGCTCGAATCTATATCTCAGATTATCATCCATTGCAAGAGGACCACGATATGTGCACCTGTGACTGACTTTTCTACCTAAGTCTACGCTGGAGCCACCAGCTGCAGCAATTCAGAGAGCAAGATGTGAGATAAGTGAAACATACTCCTTCGGCGTGAGCCAGGTAAGCTTGAGCCAGATCGTAGACTTGCCCATGAAGATGCTTGAGCTCGGCTTTTCTGTCAGCAATCAGGCTAAAGGTAAACCCATCCACTACCTGCATTTGTTCCGGTAGCACCCGCTCGGTACCTATGTTCATGTACCGCTTGAGCTCCCAGAAAGGATCACTGAAGCGCTTGACGGCGATGGTGGTGGCCAAGTCCAAAGATGAAGCGAACGCGATGTGTGGCCATGGCTTTGGAAGAGCAGATGGCAGAGACGCAAAGTCTACTCCGAACGCCACTTTTCCGATGGCATCCAATGTCGCCCTTTGAATCAAATCCTGTCGTCGTCGACAAGGCAAACACATGTCAGGTCAGTTTTGTCTTGCCCAAAGTAATAATCGGCATCCGAGACTCTCTTTTCTAAATTGTTCCAGGAGTGCGAAATGTTTTGTGCCCATCCCTTTTCTTCGTCGACCTCAACCCAAAGGCTGTAGTCGGATCTGCAGAGGTTGGCGATGGGCAGCTCAGACCAGGACAACATAAGTGGTATTACTTACTTGGATGTCCACGGTGGTGCCTTCTCCAGCTACTTCAGCCAGCAGCCGAGCGATGGTACAAGTTTTCTTCTTCATTACAGCAGCAGTGAGGTCGCAGACTGAAGGTTTGCAGAACTCCGAGGCCACCCAATTCCTCATAATCCATGACTCATGAAGCTCTTTCTGGCCCAGCAACACTTCCATGCGCTTGAAGAAGCCTTTGCCCTGTCAATCGAAGCCCATTACGACAGCACATCAGAGACACAGCCCGTCACAAACTATGGTCTGCATGGAAGACAAGACGAGATCCGAGGGCGAATTGGGCTGACGGTACAGACAGACCTTGCGGAAGTTGACGGAGTTCGTTTCGAGCAAGTACTGGACATTGACTGGATCCACGGTGCAGTAGTAAACGCGGCCCCAGGGCATGCGGACGTGAATGGTTTTGGCGAAGACGAAAAACCCCAAGAGCCAATCGTGTAGATGACAGTAATGCGCCGAGATGTCGCGGACGCTGCCCAGCAAGGGCCAATATCTCGGCCCCAGACGAGCATTCTGCTTCAACCTGTAGAAGCAGACGCAGAGCACCAGAAGCACGATGACACAACCCAGCTGCATAATGTAGCTGCTGGAAATCGACTCGTAAGCCGTTCTCATCATGGCCTGGTGCGTATCAGATCTCTGGAAGGAATTCTGATTTTCCTTCTCCGAGTACGAGGGGGCCATTTGCTCCTTCATGTTCAGAATCTCCGAATCTTCGTCAGCCTTTGGTGTTTTGAGAAGCAGTTTGCTCTTCGCCGTGGAGAATAACGAATTTGTGTGCGCGTGTCTAGAGCTTCTAAATGTTGCAGACGAGGGCTTAGTAAAGTGCCTTGCACCCGGCGATTTCCACAACCACGAAGGGATTGATTGTAAGCTTAGCGACTGCTGGGCACATGCTGCCTTCAAGACTTTCTCTGATCCAACAACTTCACTGAGCATGCAAACGCTCCATGCTCCGAATTGAGATGCAAAAGTGGTGAGGCCGTTGAATGGCATCTGCTTACTGGTCGGTCTTTACGGGCTAGTTGCATATATATTCATGGCATAGTTGAAGCTTAGGAAGATTTGAAGATTTGAAGATTTGAAATATTCAGAGCAGAGTCGAAGCTTGGGAAGATTTGAACACTTGAAATGTTCAGAGAGTGTTCGAAGCTTGTGAAGATTTGAAATGTTCTGTGTGTTCGAAGCTTGGGAAATTTGAAGATTTGAAATGTTGCGAACGCTATCCGCGCCACGCTGCAGCGCAACGCTCGTCTGCAGCGGAAGAGTAGTGGTGCAAAAATACCGAACAGATAGGGCACACCAAAGTCTTAGGATCCCGTGACGATACCAGAAGGTAAGGTTGTTCTACTCTGTGGCGCAAGTGAAGTAGCCACTAGATATGAGGGTAAATCGTCGTGTAGTTACAAGAGAGAGCAGGTCAGGCTTGACGGATGCTATCTTGTGTATTGAATTCCAACAGTGCCTGGACCGGCTGTTAAATCTTGTTACATATCTCTCAAACGCTGTGGGAGTTCTCTTTGTCGAAGGGGGATTGACGGTGAGAAATCTCATCAAGGTTCAAATCAACATGTTCAGCTAACTTCTATTGGACGAGCCATGTCACAGGGTATTAATCGTACGAGGAAGCAGAAATTTCGAACGACCTTTTCAACTGTAGGGTACAAACCATGTTTACACGAACAACGGTTGCACTAGGTAGCTTTCAATATTTCATTCGAATTGCAACAGCTTTGGGGACCTTTGACTTCGGTAAAAGCAGCCTTGGAAGGACTGAGAGCCCACCTTCTGCGGTCTTTTGGAAATGACCGGTGCATGGCACATCTTTTCGCTCACGTACATTTCGATTTTTACGGTACTAAAAGTGGTCCTTCTACAAATTCGGCCGAACTGAACTGAACTGCACTGCACTACACTACACTACACTCGATAGCTGGCCCTTACGCCGCTATGCGTACGAGTATGGGAAACGCTAGGCTTGCTCGCTTGTGTGCCTCGATGTACCTCTGAGTGCATGAGGGCGTGCGTATGAACAATCCCGTTGACGCTGGTCATTGTTGCAGTCGAGCCGAGCTGAGCTGAAGGGCGAGGTCCATGAATTTTGCCTTGCATCGTCTCGAGACATATTTTTTAATTTGCTGCCCTTGTGCCCTTTATCCTCGGCTTGACTCGACAACTGTTCCGCAATAGCACAGCAGATGTGAGCAAGCCATGATCGGCGAGGAGTACGACTGCGATTTCCATACATTCCACATGCAAACTGGATGGATGAGATTCAGCATCTGCGAGAGACTTGTAAGCCTTGACTGAACCCGAGCGAGGAAAGATGAGCATTAATTACATCAGAGATTCCACCACAGCGATTCCCGAGCGAGGAATCTCTGCCATCATGTAAGTTCGTTTGTTGGGCCATCGCTGTCTTGACGGGATCGAGGCCCCAGCAGAGCGCCGGCTCAGTTCTTTGTAAGCCAAGCAGGGCCTCCATCCTTTTCGTTCTTTCTCTTGGACTTCCTCCTGAACTCAGATGAACTTCAGCTCAGCGAGAGCTAATGCCCTCAAGTCCAGGTTTTTTAGATTCACTACACTCCTGCCGTAACTCTCACAATGCATGTACTGTATCATACCTTTACAGAGAGTGGTACGACTCATGCTCTTCAGAATCTGAAGCTTGAGCTCAGGCTTCGGTCAGTGAGGTGAGTCCAAGGGGAGTGAGGAATGTAAGCGACGACCTTCTGCTCTCGGAGATCGAGATGGCTGATCTGCTGAGGCCAGAGTCGCCACCTGAGCCACCAGAGCCACGTGATCTCGCTTGTCAGTCAGGGTCATTACTCGTGCTCGCCCGCCCCTTCTGTTCCTTTCCGGTCCCGCGTTCACGTCTTCCGGATTCCGTCTCACAGGAGCCTCGAGAGACGCAGAGCAGCGTGGCGGGGCCTGTTTTGCGGTCACGAGATCCGTCGTCTTGCCCCTCCACATTGCAGGTCATCTCGTATTATCGAAGAATCTGGGTCAGAAATCTTCGGAAATCAATAGTTGGCCTTGTAATTGCCACTGCAGGATCGGAGGGCAGGGCAGGAAGTAAATGTCTATCGAAGAGTTTCGCTGGTCTCTAAAGGCATCACGCCCGCCATGTACAGATTGCTATCATCAGTGGACAACGAGATCATCCTCAGGGTATCGTCGAGAAACGAGCATGTTCAGAAAATTGGAACCCTCGAGTCTAAATCATGAACTGCTTCTTACGAAGTCGACTATCGACTTTGCCACAAGATCGGATTGGTCCAGAGCATATCACACTCTCGACCATGTAGCGCATCAGACGCTGGAGTCGATGCAACCGTGACCGCATAGTTTGCAGAGTCCACTACCTCGCAACACCTTTTGTGGTGGGCCATTGAGCTAATGAGGGATGCGGTGAAATTCTGGCCGTGCCGTAATCGAGCTGCTGTACACTACGCTCGGATATGCTGTTATTTCAGAAGGATATTCGAGGAGTGAGGAAGCACTCCATGGGAAGTGCATGTCGATTGTGACAAGAGGGAGTTTTAAGAAATCCTAAAAGTAGTGATGTCATGCGTCTCTGCTCCTTGGAGTGATTATGAGGATAGTGAACCCGCAAGCAAACAGAGGCTTGCTGGATTGCAGCCAGGAAATATGCTTCGAGACGGATATGCTAAAAATAATGAAGCTTGAACGGTTGCAGAACAGGTACCTTCATAGCTCCAGTTCAGTCACAAGATTCTTCTCCACAAGTCGCGTTATCAGTCACCAATTAAATGGCAAAACCACACAAGATTCTCGTTCATTCACTTGGCTCTCGGCCTGGCACGATCAGTCTTATATTCTCACGAGACAAAATCGAACAAATCCTGCTTTGATAATAGCGAAAGATGTACTGTCTTTCGAACGAGGTTAGCCTCAGCGCAGCTGAACGACGAAGCTATGTTTGCAGATTAGACGTCCATATCGTAGCTGCAAACTGCAACCACATATCGTACCTAGTATAGATTCAGGTGCAATATTATAGTGCACATGCACGAATTGTCCTGCATGTGGGTAGGAATACCCACTGATCATGTTAAATTCTGCGTGTGACTGTCTTGGACGTGGGAGGTGATTTTAGGGGAATTTACGTGACTATTCACTTGACTTTGAGGCATTACTTAGGAATCAAGATGAATGTAACTCCATTCTAGAGAGACATCTTGTCCACTAATTCGAATGACAAGATGTCTCTCTAGATGACTGGTACTGCGAGGAGCAACATGGATGTAAAGAAGCTCGCACAAAGGTGGTCTTCAGCAAGGAGGAACTGGAAGCATTGAAGCTGGAACTATATGGTACTTTGACGGGGAAACGATTATTTCTCAACAGAGGAAGGTAATTCTGAGAAAGGAGAAAATGAGACACGTTTCAAAGTCTCAAGGATTACATACGTCGCTGTTTCCGCAGGACGCAGCACGCAAAGGATATGCATAGATAGGCGAAGTCTGTAGAGTATGAAAATGATCAGCATTCTAGGTCTCTCAACAGAGGACTGGAACATTCGATCAGTCCTGCACTCAAATTTGACAAAACAAAGTTGTCAAGGCCTCAAAACAAGATTTCCATGACTTGCCCACAAGAGGAGAGTATTCCTTTCACTAATTCGCAGTTGGTAGACGAATGTCTTGATCCTGGGCGCTCACTCCAAAGTACAGGGTACCATAACCATGATAAGAAACCCCCTATGAAAGATTCTGCTACACATTATAATTCTGATGAGTGAGTGTGCACCGAAGCAGGAACAAGCTTTGTGCAGAGAGTCGATTACATGAGGAAGCTTAGAAGATTACATGTCTTCCCTCAATCTTCCCTCTTTAAAAAATTGAAAATAAAATAAAAATAAAAGTAGATATGACTTTGACTCTGAAGTATGATCTGAACTGTTGAAGGTGGAACATCAGATTTGAAGACCGGAGAATGTGGGACAGTGGGGGAGCGGAAAATGTGCATAAGAGCCGTAAAATTGCAAATTATGAGTGCAAATACGAATTGAAAATGGATGGAGACGAATCTGCCCACATTCTTGACGTGAGATGTTAGACATGGATGTTTGTAGATGGAGAGATTGAAATTATTTCGAAGGTTGTTAGAGAAGCTAACTGTCAAGATAATTTTATCCTTACTTCATGAAAGAATTTGTAGATTTGCCACTCTCTGCACATTTCAAAACATTATTTACATATTATAATCCCTTTCATTCTTGGAAATTTTTCATCTTTCAGTCTCCTTTTTAAGTTAAATCAATTATTCAACGAGAAAAACAAAATACAATTTGGTAAGTACAAGAGACGTTCGGATAAATTTTGACTGCAATAATTGCATTTTTAAGTGCATTAATCTTCCTCTTTTCCTACTCAGTAGCGTGAGTGAGATTATAAACGCTATTTTTGTGGATAGATTAGTAACTGAAACAAGCAAACATTTGCTATCCCAAGTTGCAGCATGTAATATTCCACGCGTAATTGATACAGCTCAGCAATAAGCATTCGATGCAAAAACAAAGCACCTAAACGTGAGAGAAAACCTTATGAGACCACATGCAATAAGTATAACACGATTTTGAACGAAGTGGACTTCGCTGACAGACAGATTTCTTCTCTTTGAAGAAAATCACCAGGTCTATGAAGTCTGCATGGACACGGGGAAATTGGGTGACACAATATGTGCTTATATATTTATTATTCACAAAAAATATCTCAAATTCAACTCAAATGCTTTCTACAAAAGGACGGCGCTGTACAAGGAGGCTCCGCATTCTACTTCCAATCATCAAGTACAGAACAGGAGGCCGATGCTATGCATAGCCCTCCAAGGTTTGAAGGACGTTCAGGACAGAGCCTTGCCCTGTTTACTGAGGTGGATTTTGGTTCGTCACTGCGTCCTTGACTCCCAAAACGGCTCCCTTGACAACATCAGCACCCTGCACATCCAATCCGATCCGCCACATCAATCACCGAGAACACTCGAGGAATTTCACAGTTACTTCAAACGATAAAGACAGCGACACAAGTCGCAGGTCCGCAGCTCAATAAGCACTAATTCACAAGGCGGAGGCCGAAGGAGACGACGAACAATCACCACCTCGAAAACGGCAAGGGCCTGCTTAAATCAGAAGCATCATACAGAACGATCGGAAAGAAATTCGAGCATGAGCGAGCGATCAATCGAGAAATTTCGAACTCACCATCTGCAGAGTATTCTTCGTCTTCTCCTTGGCAGCCTCCGTGGTCTCGGAGGAGGATTGAGCAGCTCGGCCGACGGTGTCGTCGGTGGAGCTCCGGGTCTGCGAGGTCTTGTCGGCGGCAACATTCTGGGCCTCCGAAGCCTTTTGCGACGTCGCGTCCTTGGTCGCAGCGGCCTTGTCCGCCGTCGCGTCCTTCGCCGCGCCCGCTTCGTCGGCGGCCGCGTCCTTGGCCTGCACGGCCTTGTCCGTCACCGTGTCTTTGGCGTCAGAGGCCGCGTGCTTGGTCTGATCCCAGACGCCCTTCGCCGTGTCCTGCACGGTGGCAGCCACGTTGGCAGCCCCGTCATGAGCCTGCCCTGTCTTCTCGGCGCCGGTCGCCCGGGTCCGATCGGCTGTGCTGCCCAAGGCGTTCTTCGCCTGGTCCGTCTTCTCGGCGGTCGTGTCGTAGCTGCTGTTGTACTGCTCCGATGCCATTTTCGCCGGCGAGAAGAAGATCGAGGAGAGGCTGCCGGAAGAGGTGATCGAGGAAGAACGAAATGAAGAGGGTATGAATTGAATTCCGACGATCGCAATGAAGGCGCAGGTCGATGTCCGAAGGGGGCCTGCTGATGCGGATTATGTAGGGGCCGCGGGACAGTGTGGGCGTCTTCACCGTGACGCGTGTCGCGTCCTGGTGGAAATGCACGTACACTTGTCGACAGCCCGATCCGTCGTCGACTGCATGACGGGCATACGATACCTGGCGACTGCGCCGTTCCGCTCCGTTCCCAGCTTGTCATCGACAGTCGCCGTCGTCGCCGTCGGGCGTGACTGGAATCGGTGCGTTGTTGTCTCGTCCTGCTGATGCCACGGCTCTCGAGCTCTCGAGCTCTTTGCACTTTCTGCCGCCGAAGTAACAAAATCTCAGTAACAACATCTCTCCTTCTTTTCTGACGAGTGAGCCGCCGCCATGACGACGAATTTCGTCGACTCACCGTATCCTTCCATGAAAGATAGGTAGATAGATTTCGTGTGAGGAATATGAAGCGACTCAGCTCTAAACTTAGTATCGGTTGCACCAGACTTGAGCTCAGTGGAGAGTTACCAACTTTCACAGACGTGCAACACTGAAGCTCTACGAGTACAGAAGGCATCACAATTAATTCGAATCTATATGATTCTCACAGACACTCGCTTTCCTCGACTTCGAGGGATAGGCAACTGCATCGTTGGATCATCATTGTGGACTGATGTAACAAATACATACGTTTCCTACACTACTGAATATTAACGCCAATGGGAACTTTGTTACTTAATTCAGTCCAAATTAAACCCTCATGCAACGAGAAGTCAGGTTCTACATTCCGTTTCAGCTCAGGTGAAATCAGAGCTGAAAAAGAGCTCTGTCTCGCCCAGCCAGTCAATCGGTACCAACCCACCTACAATTACAAGTGTCGTCGATTTTCTGCTCCGGTGCTCAGTGCTTTCTGTGTACATGAGGTCCTGCCGGTCCTCGAGTTTGACCACCCGCTCGCTGCATGGAAGTTGGCTCTGAAGGTGGTAGGAGTCATAGTTCTTTGCTTCAGTTCTCCTGCTATCGATACATATGATTTGACGTCATTCATATTGGGCAAATAGTCCGGCATCTGCAAATATTCAGGTGCGGAATTTCCTGTTGCAGATTCCACCGCTTGATCTTTTCCGTTGTGGACATGCTGGTCACCTCTGGAGTCGAGGTGATGGATTCTGGACGATGCTCCAAGACGGGGTGTTCAAGGTCCACGTTTTCACCGGAAGAGGGATTTCTAGAGCATGAGCAAGAATGTGGCTCATAGCCTACAAGGAAAACTCAACGCGGGATTCTGGGATGGCAGTCTTGTTAAAGAGGTGATGTTTTCACACGATTTTCCCTTGTCGTCGTCGTCGCTCTTCCTCTGTTTGCTGATGCTGGAGGATGCGACCTGTCTTACAAGAAATCTTCATCATCCTCTGGAGGTCTCGCATTTTCGTCAAGAAAATCTTGGAGCACGGGAATCTTGTCCTGTCGCTTGAAAACTTTTATTTTCAGGTGGGTCTTATATCTAGCTGGAGGGGCCCATTCCACTCCTCATTGCTCGTGAATATCATACTTCAAGAAGCTAGAAACCGAATTCTAATGGAGGTCCACCAATTGAGTAACTCCATTTCCTAGTTTTGACTCTTCAAAGGGCCCTCTAGCTCTTCTTCGATCTCCTTTAGAGCAATAAGTGCATTTCAATGCTGAGAAATTCAATGCTTTTGAGACCACACTCTAGGCTCGAATGCGCTCAAGCGTATTTCTCACAAAGTGGAGCAGTAACACGAACGGTTTTTCTTGAAGGCATAATCCATTGAATGATTATCTCTTTCATGGAACATCGAATGAGGTTTCCTTGGAGATTTGGGTCTGCCACTTCAGCTCGGAGAAAAGCTGATCCCCATTCCTCTTCCGAATGGTGACAGTGGTCACGATTTCTGTTCCATATTCATGTCGGCCTTGAGCTGCACTTGAGCTCAGCTGCAGTTGAGGTACGTCAATTACTTAGGAAGAGACAGCTCTTTGCATTCTCAAATTCTCTTACTGCAAGCGGTCTGCCATGCCATGACGACAGCCGGAGGGTTAGTGGCGGCATCAGTTCTCCGCATGTTGTGTCGTAAGGATATATATTGCCCGACATGGACAGTGATTAGTCGAGTGGAGCGCCATATGGACTCGACTGTGTTCTACCAGAGGGGATACAGAGAGTTGGCATCTAGATTGTAGAGATTTAGTGGAGTAGATTGAGCTGTTAAGAAGATTTTGTCTGGGCTAGGTAATACTTTTCAAGAATTATTTTGGCAAAGTGAATACTTTGCATGGAGTGAATAGTGATGTGTCTTGTAGTGCACTAAGATTGATAAATGATGTTTTCTTATTTTGATAATGACGATATTTTTATATTTTTACACATATGTTAAAGTATGAGTGTTAGTTTTGACATGTATATAATTAATATATTTTTAGTACTGAAAATTATTTCAAAATTTGAAGAATGAATATATTTTTCTAAAAATCATTTAATTCTATTTTAAGGAAAATTTTATTTATTATCAATTTTAACACAATAGTTGTTGATATACATATGTTTGATTCTTAATACTATGTTATTAGACCTACACCTAAATGATTTATTCTATGCATTACATCAGGATGTAATTGGAGACTAGTTTTACTTGTATAGCTGTATACTTGTAATGCTAAACAGGATTTTCATATTTTTTTGCTCCATCTCCCTTTGTTAAGTTTTAATATACATTTAAATACTTCTCTGTTCTCCTAAAATTCAAAAAATAAAAATGTTTTGAATTTATTGATATGTTATCATACGATTGGATCCAACTGTGATAGAACCAACCTCCTATTTATGTCATCGTACTGTAGAGAAGCTAAATTTAACTCATTGACTTTTGAAACACAATTTTCAGAACAATATGGCATACAGATGTAATAGAATAAAACTAAAATAAGAGGAGATTTTTGAATAGGGAGATTGACCAATTTCAATTCCTTTAAAAGTTCATGTATTTTGGAAATTGAGACTTAAATATAGAAAAGATTATTATGTTTATAAGATGTGTTCTAATTGAGTGACTCTAAACCATATCAGGATATATACCTCTTATAATAATAAATTTTCTTCGGCTTTGAGTTTATATACAAGCAAAGCAGCAAAAACCATTCCTAGAGCAGTTAGCACCAACTTGAAGTTGGCGTTTCTCTTAGTTTAGACGCTTTTTATGTAAGCATACTTTTGGACTAAATTAGATTGCTATATGGTCTGTGAATGGGCTGCAGTTTTCACACTTCCCCTCTAGCTCCAAAACCACCACCTCTTCAATTGAATAATCATGCGCGATTAGGCCCTCTCTGTTTCCATTTACCCTTTTTTATTGTCCACATCTCAACTCTGCCCTACTGATATGAGCTAACAGGCAGAAATTGACTCATCGGAGGCCTGTGCCTGACAACTAGAAAATATGTTCATGCACTGCGTCTTACACAATAATTAAGAAGAGGAGCATATCAAATTTCGAGACATTCAAAACGTCCAGGTATTATTACAGTCTGATCTCACAACTTTAACTTCATAATAACAAGTAATTTTGGTTAAGGATTTATAAACACCTATTGAAGTTGGTTGGACTTGGATTACGATTGGAAATTTATCAACTTTCTATCTATGATTCAAGGATACTGTAAATTTCAGTCATTGTATGCTCTTCACTTGGATTAAAGATGAAGTTGAAAAAAAGATTTGGATTCTTGTCTGTGCCTGACGTGATTTCATAAAACATCGAACATCGCGCATGATGAATGCTTCTGGCGGTACTGGAAATCGCTCGTTAGCTTGAAATAAAGTTGACCATAGAGTATTGGGCCGCTAATATTGAAGATCTCATAAGCTCTGAATCGTGTCAAAGATCACCATTGGAGGCATTGCGTAAATGGTTTTTAGAAAATCATGCCTCCTGCTCTTGACCATATTAAAGATGAAGAATTTGGTTCATAATCTCATATATATCTTTATCTTTCTTTCTTGGACAACCGAGGCTTACTGTATCTTCGACAGAATGATCCAAGGGCTTACAGGTGTATGCCCCGACCTAGAAGAATGTCTCCATAGGGTGTATTTTGCTTGACCGTGAGAAAATGATTCGAGGCAAGCACTGCAAAAATATCAGATCCACGTACGGAGTTAGAGCACAATGCATCAGTGCAACAGAGTATGTCATTAAGACATATACAGTCGAAAGGGGCGGCTTGCAAGCTATAATCGACGAGATCATCTTCCACTGTTTAGAAATATGCCTTACCACATATCTGGTAAAACAACCTTGCAGCCTCTTCTCTTCGCAGACCTTCTGATAATTGAAAGAGTGATTTGAATCCAAGAGAGCTAGGTCCAAGTTGCTTGAAACTTTCCCTGAGATACCTGACAATTCAACTCCTTTCAATTTAGTTACGGATCAGGTTATATAAGGTTCTTGTTTTTTACAACCGTTCATCTAGCATATACTCTAAAGAAAGCTTGAATGAGAGAACTTTTTCAATTCTGTACTTGGAAATAACTGATTGCCATAGTCAATTGGCGAATCCTATTAGTGCTGAGATAGTCTCACAAATTAAAACTCATAGTTTGGATAACCAGTCACGACAAAAAATGTACTCACTGAAGAAGGGCTGACGAGACATGGAAATTGAATTCTTGAGGCGTATCTCGCTGAGTTTCCTCCATCAGATCTTATGCCCCACAGCAAATTTGCACGTCAGATATTGTAATATAAGCTTGACTTCAAAAAGCTTTCTCGTTAGTAATTACACAGGACTGAAGGTATCACAACGTACAAAAGTAAAAAAATCTCCTAAGAAACTTGCGGGATCAGAATGTAGTACATGGACCCATTGAAACGCAGCTTGAGAAGTTGTATTACGAGTTCAGAACCATATTTATTACCAAATTGACTTAATGTGGTCTGCAGACTTCCTCCCAGGTTTGAGAAGTAGGCACAGCCTACACTATCTAGACCGGGTGAGGAGTTGTCAAAAATTCGAGGAGAAGAGCTCCGAAATGACCCTGATAATCTTGGTCTCTTGAATCTGTGCTCGTCACCATACACGCAGATTCGAGGAGTTGATAATTAGTGGTTGTGATAAACTATTCTTTCATTCGATGCACCAAAAAACATGAGAAGGTACATTCAACTGCGAATGTCGTCAACATTTATAATGTCTTAACCGGACCTTTGCTCGCGAAAATGAAGTCGTGGTTGGACCTTAAGTGCATCAGGTGTCAACTTAAATGTTCGATTTATAGAGGTATCATTAAGTACTTTGGTACCTTTAGACTCAAGAACAAGTCTATGAGGGGATCTCAAACCAAAGCGTACCTTCCAGAGCCTCCTGTTGGGGGATCTCTCTCCATGTCGAGAGGAAGTATACCGGAGCCAGGTGTTGATCTACTTCTATCGGAACGGACATATCCCTGCTTTTGACCTGCGAAATCATCGAGATATACACAATGGAAAATCATCTCATATTTCTAAATGGGTGGTATGGCTAATTATAATTTTAATCTGCCAATTAAATAGTGCTCACCTGGAGTAAGCCCGAATTGATTGCCCCAAAAATCATCGCTGCCGGCACTAGGACTTTGTAGAGCTGTACGGAGTTTTTCTACAGAACCAAAATCTCGGAGTTCGCCAGGCCCGTTATCCTGCGAGTAGGAGGAGGAGAGACTTCAGGGAACGTCTCTTGAAATATTTGTCAAAATGGCAACTTGTGGACACGTCATCATTTAGCTCATTATTTTTAAGGAAATATGTCATGAATGTATAGAAAGGAAGAAGGAATAGATACATGACTTAACCATTTCTCTTTCAGCAGATTTGAGATTAACCTCCATAAAATCTGCGGTGAAGTCTCCGGCTATCTCTGGGTCTATGGTAGGATCTTCCGCCTTTGGAGACGAAGTATCCTGGGATGCAGCCGTGTAACTTTGATTGCTTGGATCTGAACTCTGAACCGAACCCCGCAAATTCTTATCGAGTGGCACAACAGGCTCTCCCTGACGAACCGCTGGAATAGGCTCTGACCAAGTTGGTTTTTTGTCAGCGAAGTACTAATTTAAACTGGCGGTTAGTAATGTACAGTCCCCACCAACCATTCACTGCTAGATTGTGAAGAATAGTTATCAACCATATAACTATTTCTGATGTAACTAAATTTCCTACTAATTATCTGTCCAGGCTAAGTCAGTAGCAGCTGAAGTACCTTCGATGACTTTCTCTGTAGGAGGTGCATCGTTTCCTGTTAATGTTCGTTCCCAGACATTTGCAAGTTTAGCTGGCCAGAATGTTTCTAGCCCCTGGATACAAGTCGGAGAGAGGAGGCATACTGAAGGGAGGTTGAGATGCCTCCGAGTTCTTGCTACCTCGGGATCTATACCCACAAGAAACTGCGAGCCAACAGTTGTAAGTCTCGGAAAGATAAGTTTTGTATCCGCTTGGATACCTATGTTCAAAATAGTACATTCAGGTCGCTTTTTCCTGAAAATACAACTATGGCTTTTGAATTCAAACGATCGGAAAATCTCATCTGTTTAGACGGACAAAATTTGAAGAAATAACCTGGCGTCCGCGGATATCTGAGCTGTCCCGCAGCCATGCTTCAAATACTGAAGCTGGAATTTCCATGTAACCTCGATCGAAAATAACTCTTCTAGCGCCAGCACTTCGAACTTTGCGCAATTTATGTTTCTTGTTTTCGACTTCTGCCTGTGGGCATTATGTTATAAGCATTATGAGCAGAAGGCTCCAAATTCTTTTTCAAAAGTGCTGTTTCCAAGAAAAATGGAATTCCTTATTTTTGAGCTCCTAGAATCGATAACTTTTATAGGATTCCAAATAACTTCTTGTAATCCCATAATTCTGGAATTCAACATACAGTAATACTCATACCGATTCAAGCTCCACCGCTTGATTGCCTTCGTGCTGAGGGCTGGTTCCGTTACAATCTGCTTGATTGCCTTCGTGCTGAGGGCCGGTTCCGTTACAATCTGCTTGATTATCACTCCGTTCTTCTGTATGCACAGCCTTTGAATCGAGATCTCTTTCACTATGTACTGGAGCAGAGGACACTTCTGGCGGAGTAGGAATGTCGGCTATCGCGTTGAAACCAAGCACGGAGTTTGTTCAGGCTTGCTCAGATGCTTTTTATACAATTCTTGAAAAGGCCGGATCGTTTGAGAACGTCTCTAAGATAGAATATTTCTGGGCAAGAATTTCTTATACTGAATGTAAATCAACTTTGATGCATAAGCTAGCCAATCCGATAAAAAAAATAGAATTTATCCTTGGGCAATCGACAGGAGAAAGGTAAGAGTCAGATCACATGCGCACCGTTTACCTGTTACGTGAATTTCAGGGAAAAAGTGGTCCATAAAAAAGTTATCAGAAGGTGGAATGCGATCCTCTTGAAAATTCCTGATCATCATGCTTATAATCAGTCTCGATACACCCCAGTAGCAACACATAATTTGGATACGGAATCACATGGACGGTAGGCCCGTGCGATGTTGAAAAGGAGGGCAAAATTACTTCTTTAAATAGTCAGCCTACACTTTCATGCGCATTGATGTCATACGTACATGCCAAAGTCCTCGTAATGCTGGTGAAGGCTTTCGCTCAAGTTTCTTTCTTCCAAAGTTATATCCTCACTGCTTACTGAATGATCAAAACAGAAGATAATTAACGGCCACTTAAAATAGGAATAAAATCAATATTTCCAGAAGCAGTATTTGCTAATTTGATCTGAAAGTTGGAATGTATCTTGTTTAAAGTTTAACCAACCGAAACTATGATTTTCATGACATGTTCTTCCTGCAGCTGCTCTCTATGCAAACAGGAATAAGTATTTCATGCCATCACAATTTATTCCTAACCTTGGAAATTATTTGGAACGTCAGAGCTGACTTTATCCCCACTACTGCTCAAATGTTGGTACGGATCCACAGCTGTAGACATAACATACTCCTCCTTATCCTAGAAGAGAAAGACAAACTATAATTAGGTTAAAACACTGTGATCTGAACCCACTCATGGTTTATTTCCTGACATCAAAATGAAAAATGTAGAAGCCAACCGCTCAGCGAAACAAGGAGCACAAGCAAGATTTCCACAACATGTCTCACACTCGATTTTTCTCCAGAATGCTATTTGATCTTTCCCATGTCTCTTTGTTTCAGATCGAATCAGAAAACTTCAAAGTTCTCGTCTAAAGTCCTCAGGATTAGCTCAGATTTATTTACGAGTTTATGATAGGCTCACCATAAATTCCTCCTCTTTTCCAGGTGTACCAGGGTGAAGCATTGCTCTCTCAACGTCACCAAAAGTTTCATAGTCATATGATATCGTAACAGTCTCAAACCTGTCCACCAAGCCAAAACAATTGCAGTTGATTGCAGATCATAACTTTATGCCTCCAAATGTTAGGGAAATTAAGTGCCGCTTTGCTGGCTCGCGCAAATCGACTTGCTTTGTATCGATCTAGAAAACAGAAGACGAACATATCATATGGTTCCTAGGCAAAACTGATCACTAACAACAAATCCCACTTTCATGTGATCTTGGACGAAGAGTATATCTTAATCATAATCTGAGATACTCATCCTCCTTATTACAACGTGACTTGCAGACTTCACACGTTTCAGGACAAGTCAAAATTGTAGCCAAAAAAATTCAACTTTTTTAACAATCTTTCTTGAATATGAACAAAAACCAACAATGAAAATTTGAAAGTTTTGAATTTAGAGCTGTTCAAAAGGCTTAGACTCATACAGGCCCGAGGGTAAGGACTCTTACCTGGCATGTAATTTTTCTCTGGGTAAAGATATGTATTTATCTACACGAGCCTTGGTGTCTAGAGCAGTCTGCAGCTTGCCCTGTTTAGAGGGAATACAAATTGATTCAACAATCCGGCAAGAGAATGAGATTTTGATTTACTTTATTCATGACATACAATTTAGCTACCTGGCTTAGCGCAAAACATATACGATAGCCGCGTCAGAATGCACTTAATGACCTCCTGTTGATTTCATCTTCATTCCAAAAACGTACCAGGAAATCGTTGACATCCTCTATAATATTGTTTGTCGAAGATCACCACAATTCAACATTGAGTCATCACAAATTACACGGTAAGTTGTCCAGTCAACTTCATCAATTCGATTATGTAAAGGGCAACAGTCTTTCAGCTATTGCTACTTTGAAGAGATAGATAGAAGCTGACATTCTCATCCACATAATTCGGGTCTGGAATATCGTATGCAAGTTGATGCTTTTCAGGAATGTGTTGACTACATTCATGAATGAGCATCAAAAAGTAAATTTGTTTACAAATTGTTATCATTTCTTATTGTTGAGTGCATGGGTTAAGGTTGAGCGATATTTACCATACAGGAACTTCACCTTTCGATCGAAAATTAGGACAATGCCGCCTGGATAGAGTCCACGAACGGAGTTTCAGTTGAATCATGATGAAAAGTGCATATTGTATGTCATACATATGGAGAAAACTCCGCAGATAGATTTACTTTCTCAGGTCAGGTACATGGCATGGATCCCAGAAATCTGAAGCCGAAATAAAATGTACTGCGGGATGCGGGACTCGTATCTAAGGATCGAAGTTAATATGATAAACAGTTACATTTAATGAGCTTCATAACGCACCCATTAATATTCCAGACAACCGCAACGCCAGTGGTACTTGAGGCTGGAGTACCTGCATACTGCAAAAGAGATGCATGTAAACTCTGGAAAATTTTCCTTGCTCCTTGCATTTTTCAAGGTTCGACTTTTGAAGTGGACATAACGCTAATCATGTACTCTTATCAAGGTTCTTCACTTTCGTGGGTAAAATTACCATATTTCGTGAATATTGATCTGGTCAGCTTTCTTCCTGTTAAGCTTCGCTTGCATCGTTGCTACTATCCTGGGTAGTTCAGCCGAAGGTAACCGCATTAGTGATGAATTGTACTTTGGACTCAAACGTGAGATAAGATGGAATTATACCAGCGACTTCACACGAGCTGCATCTCTCTTGAAAACACGAATAATTAATTTGCTGTTGAGTTCGTGAACAGCGCTCTTAGGTGAAAGTTGGCTTATTGACTACTGAGGGAAGCTATCTAAATGTGTGTTGATAAAGAGTCTCCAGGTATTGAGGTTTGATTCCGATAATCTAGAGTAGACATGTGAATCATCTCAATCACCCTTGTTTCATCTTCAAAGTATGACGTACCATATTTGTCCAAGAGGACCTTTTCTGCAAAGAAGATGATTGGAGAAAAACATCGTCCAAAATATATTCCTTACAGCGCATCAGAATAAAACAGATCAGTTCCAAAGACTTCTCAAAGAAGAACAAAGTAATAACTGTTCAAAGACCTACGGTGAACGGTTCCAATGGAAGATTGCAATTAATCTGATCTAAGTCGCTAAGAGGTATTTTTATTTTGGCGTCAGTTGCTCACTCCTAAGCTCCATAAGTGTCGTGAAGATTCAGCAATAAATCAGGTTAGTAAGAAAATACAAGAAATTCAACATGAATGATCTAACAACAGAAGATATCCGACATGCGTTTGAGAAGGAAAGACAAGTTCAACCACCAGAACATACAATATAATCAGAAGAAAATTGTTTTCTGTCAGCGTGCAGGTAAGGGTCGTGTGTTGTGACTCTCATGCAAATGATCGTTCTTCTGTCATCGAAAGCAGACAGGCAAGAAAGTTATAGAACGGGGTGAAGCTCAGAGAGCAAGAACGAAGAATCCTTCGACCCCCCTCGTGTCCTCCAATTATGAACCTCGCGAGGCCCCGAGAACGAGTCTACGTCGTCGATTCATAATCTCCCGGGCAGGCCCGGCGCGCGCGGCATACCGGATACTGTAGCACCGAGGCAGCGCGCGAGCTGATCCACGAGACGGGCGGACGAACGGACGAATTCGAATTCAAGTGAACCAGCCGCGCCCAGCGTTCGTGGCGTGTTCCGCAACGCGCCGCCGGGATTGGTCGACAAGACCGTCGACATCCAACGGGTACGTAACTACGTGCGCGCCTGCGCTTCACCCACGCAGCACGTTACGAAAGGTCTCGTGCATCGGGACAAACGATTTTGTTGATTACGGGCGGAATTAATTAATTCACGTTTTCCTGAGGCCTTGGAAATTTGGGGATTTGGGATTTTTGAGTTTTCGGGTTTTCCGAGACCCGATTGCCAAACCGACGACGTTCCGGCGACGCCCCGTCTCGCCGCGATGCGGACGTGGCGTCACTCCGAAGCTGCCGTGGCCGTCGAGTGACTCACGGGGTCACTCACAAGAAGATAGCGAATGGTAGTGGCGCTCCGTACAGTGCAGGGAAAAGGACGTGGTGGGCCTCCGACATCCGCCAAGCAAGGGGACGGGTGCCCTTGTGGGCCCCGCAGTCGCGCTGCGTGGACCGCGACGTGAAAAGTAGGACGGCAGTTCTGGTGGGAACGCAACATTTGTGACACGAAAGCTCATAATTCGTGATTGTGCAAGACTAGTAACAGTTACGCTCCACCGTGTCTGATTCTTTACCGTTAGGAGTCTATGCTCCGATGGGATCCACACAACATGCGCATCTCTTGTTAATTCGCTTATACAATAATACAATAATGTTATAACTGAAATTACATAGGAATATATTGGCCACCAAAACCAAGTGAAACTGTTAACTCCGTATGATAATGACCGATTACATTGTATCATCGCCTTTGATGAATTCTAGCAATGTGGCTGGTTCAAATAAAGGAGATGATCGCCGCTTGATACAGGCTTGAATAGATTCATGGAAATAGAGCTCACAACAAGAGCTAGATTGCAACACGTCTACCACTAATTGATATAGCACTAAGTAGGTATATTTCACCAAGTCTTACATGGATGTATTAAAAGGTTTAAGATGAGTCTAGTCAATGATAGCATCACAATGGGCATTGCCATATCCTAGTACTTAAGAAATTTTGATTCCTCTTGTCAAACTATATACTTCAAAATAGCATTCTTGTGATTAAATTCCTTAAAACTGCACAGTGCAATTATAATCGAAAAGAAAAGAATTAAACTTCAATATTTAGAATATATTATTCAATATGTATAGATGTTTGAAAGTTCATGTTTAATATGATTGGACTCTCTCTCACTATCTATCACAAACGTGTTGCAGTTAACATCCACAAAATCACATGACTCCACAGATCTAGATAATCAACACTCTTTAGAATCGAGAGGTGATTGTCCAAATTGTTGTATCGTGAGTCCTACATAGAAGAACAAAAATCAAAGAAACTACTAAACTAAGAAACTTTCTATGAAATGTGGATCTTAAAAAAAAACTAGTTAATAAGCTTACATTGAACGTTTATTATATTTTCAGTCAAATCATCAAATTCACTTAAGATCAATCCCTAAAACTACAAGTTTAAATTTAAATTTACTTGCATATGTTAGTATTTACTTAGAATCAAAGCCAAACAGTCAAATATATGACTCACACTAAATAACCAAGGTTACACCAGACACTAGTGTAGCGTGTTTCACTAGGGAGCGGGCTACATTCACGAAAAAGTGAAATTACACTTTGCATAACGGGCAAGTGGTCGAGTTACATACATAACTTGGATTTATGTCCTCGGATCCAGGCGGTTACTAGCTAAATACAAAGATTAACCCAAAATAGTATTTAACCTCAACAGCATATTCAAATATAGGAAAAAAATTCAGTACTTAAAAATATTATTTGATTATATATATATATATATATATATATATATATATATCTATCTATCTCTCGATGATCTATTAAAAATATTCCTATTCAAATTATGTGTAAATCTCAATCAAGTGTTCTTCCAATCTGAAATATTTGAAAACCTACTAAGATGTAAACTAATAATTATAGATGTTAATAATTGACATACTTTTATGTCATTTCAATTTTATGACATGATAAATAAGTTTCAGATTGATTATACGAAAATGAAATTATCACTGATATATTTAACGCAAATCGAAATATCAATAGAAAATATCAACAGAATTTTTTTCTTATTTATTCATTTATCAAAAAATAACAAAAAAAATTTATTTCAAATTTATTTATAGTAATGATCATAGTATAAATTAATAATTTTATTAAATTATTTTTATAATAATAAGTTTAAACATTATTTTTATAATGTTTAAACTTTGAAAAAATTATATCAATAAATAATTTACATGCATACATGTATTGTAACAGAAGTGGTATGTTCATTGTAGCATATCTGGATTTGATAATCAAAATATGATTCAAATGTTTTATATGTTTAAATTAGATGTCATATAGTATTCATAACAGTTTTTCGCAATGATTGATTGAATGGGTAATTACTTTAGAGATTTAAATTTTTTTTAAATCAATCCGTCTGAAAGCTAATTTTTTCAATAAGATTTTTCATTCATTTTTTATTTTTATGAATATTTCACTTATATCTTTCCTATAAAATGTTCAGAAAAAAAATTTTCTCCACAAAATGGATGACACTTATTATGATTTTCAATAAAAACTTAGATTTTTTAAATTTTTTTTATTAAATGTAAATATAATTAAAAGAGTATCATAGAATACATATATATATTCATCCAAAAAAATCATAAGTGCAAAAGTATTTAAAGAATTGAATTTTTTGTCTCAAAAATCTTCTAAACATATCTTGAACCTATCTCCTCTTGAGAATGATCAACTTGATTCATGGAATATTCTAAAAGTGGAGCATAATTCTACAAACTCCTTTCCATTCTTTGTTAATGTTACAAGTATTGAGGTTATGATACTGCACTTTGTTTTCAATTTTCATTCGCGTAAAGTATATCATTAGTAGCTCGGCATGAAGAAAATATTAGTATTTAGATTTCAAAGTTAACCTCAAAAAACATTGTGGTTATTTGAACTTGTTAAAAATGATGAATAATTGCTAAATTATCATCACAGTTATTTTATTGCGACAGAAGAAAAGAATATTATTTCATAAAACACTTTCGTAAATTCAAATATTCCTTAATTATACATAGCATTAAATTAAATGTCAAAGTTCATATGAAAGTAATGAAAATATTTTTGTCATTTATTCAATAATTGGTATGTGATTACGTCAATAATATATTGATATGTCCATAATTAGTCATCTAAAATTATTACAATTTAGTTAATGAAAAATAAGAAAATTCTTTATCTGAATGTATGAGAAAAATTAATATTTAATTCAGAAATATGTATATTCTCTTCTTTTGAAAAAAATTGGATAAGAAAAGTTAGTAAAAAATTATAAAATATGCTTATATGATATATTTCAATGAAACAAATAAACCAAGGTCTAAATTCTGAGAAAATGTGATGAAATTTTAAACAAATTAACTATATGTTAAAAGAAAATTTATCGCCATGCAATTTTCAGAAACTTCAGAAATTTTTATATGAGATACAGAATATTTAAATTTATTGCAACGTTTCTATGAAGTTTTATAAAAATCAATCTTGTATATAATTTTTTTAATTTGATATTTTTCTTCAATTTTTTCTATGCATTTCTCATATAAAAATACACATTACCACATGTAAATTATATTACAACTCAAATTTAGATGTAAATGCACCTGCTCTAAATTCTAATTTTTTTCTAAACAGTATTTATAATAAATATAATAATTAAAATAAATTAAAAGAATTTTCATAGATATATGAAAATAGAATGAAATATATAAATGTATGGCTATTTTATGAAGGATGCTTCCATATTTATTAAATTTATGAATAATTTATTTTAATCTTTTTTGATGAATTCATTCACACAATGCATTTTTTATGAAATATTATTTTTTCACAATTTTTTGTTGAGAAAAAAAGAATAATTTCGATAATAGAATTTTCTACACATTTCATAAATATGTTTTAAATAATCATAGTTTAGTTCAACATCTTTTGTGATTGAAATTGTTTTGATCTACGTTTTTTCAATATATATATGCACATGAAAATATACTGAAAAAATTGAGTAGTATTGTGACATTCAGATAATAAAAGCACAAATGTGAAAAGAAATCTTGTTTTTTCCGGATCAGTTTTCATATTTTTTGGGTGCATTCATCTTTGAATCAATAATATATCTCAAATTAAGATTGCTGTAATTTTAACTTTGGACAAAACTTCAGACCTTTTCATCTCACGTGGATATCGAATTTTTTCCTTGATGTTGATTATACTTAGTCTCACTAAGACGTCATGTTTTTAAGAATGTAATTACAATTTTTAAAAAGTGTGTGTTGAAGATCAAAATATTGATCATGTTTCTCTTGGCAATCAATGCCCATGTTTCGATCGTCTCTTGTCAGCAAAAATGCACTTTGGAATTTCAGCAGAGGATTTCGTGGATTTGTCTTCTGATAGTCGTCCGCCACTAACAATGTGATTGTTGCAAATGCCATCGAGTTGATTCTTCCAGGACAATCATTCCTTCACATTCACCCTCCACGGTTGCAATTTTCGCGGTTCCGCAAACGTAAATGTCTCTATAACTTCGTAATCGCATCATTTCTTCTCTTCTGTCTTCAATAAATAAGTCAAGAACCGACACAATATGTCGCAATTATTGCGCTATATGAACATTCAAAGGCATATTGATTGAGAAGAAGGTCACAAATTGGCAACATGTGTCTCGAAACAGGTCTTTACTGTCGTAGTCATTGGAATCCAGCCGAGAGCACCTACTGTCATGCAAAGCAGACACATTCAAGTACTTAGCGTGATAAGTTTATTTAAATATGAAGCGAAAAGGTATACTTTAGCAAATTGCAGTACGCTACAGGGTGAAATTGGAATACTATAAAAAACATAAATCAGAAGTAGTAAATTGTTTTAGTTGAAGGTACTAAGAAAAAGGGATATACCTTGCAATCTTGGCGAATACAAACCGAGCCGTACATAACCATCGGTACTACAGTAGTTGAAAACTTGAATCATACAAATTACATAACCTTTGCCGGAATATTCATTTTTCTTCCGGAGTGGTTAAGATAAAGTAAGGGTAGACAGAAAGGGAAACAGATTGCAAGGCAAAACAAAAAGTGAACCAACGCTCAAGTATCTGATTTATTATTATTATTTTCTCTAGCTTTGCCTTGAGAAGACAAAAACGGTGATGTTTTTTTCTTAGCATTGACGGGAGAAGGGCTGTTTCTCTCTGCTGCTACGAGCCATTATACCATACCAGACAGACCCTTGGACTCAGTCTTGGATCTGAAAGGAAGACCGAACAGGAGAACTGGGAATCCGGCCAGGAGAACCTGGATGATGATGATGATGAGGAGGAGGAGTCTCGCCAGATCCGTGATTGACCGGATGAGGATCCAATACAAACAAGTAGAAAGAAAATGTGAATAAAGGCGTTGGGGCTACGGAGGGGAGGATCCCGAACGGAATACCGAGCAATACAGCAAAATGGGAATAAGCATGAGATAAGTCCAGTGGGTACGAGCGGAACTGGAAGGGCAGGGCAGGTCAGGTGGTCACACAAAGCTTCGGCATCACGAAATAAAGTTTAAGTCCATGTGCCACGCGGCAGGGCCTGGCGTCGTCGGAAAGGCTTGGGCCTCGCTGCGCTTGTCGCAATCGGGGCGTTCGATATCGGGTGCGCGTGGTCACCCGGTGGGGCCGGCAGCAGACCCCGAATCGAGGAGGAGCGCGGGGCCGTGGATGGAGGGCATCGACGGCGGCCAGCAGATACGACGCATGTGGTGTTCCCATGCACGACCTGCGTATTGTCGGTGCTGTGCTGGGCTGCTGCGCTGCTGCTCTGCGCTGGGCTGCGCGGAGGAACGCTCCCTTTCTTTTGTTGTCTCGCTTCATTGTCCTCCCCTCGTCGTCGTCGTCCTCCTGCAGCAAGGCAGCAGCAGCAGCAGGAGCAGGGCTGGCAGGAAGGCAGGAAGGCAGAGGCAGAGGGCCAGGCAGCTGCACTCGTTCTCCATTTGCTGCTGCTCTTTTCTCTCGATAACTGTCATCTTTCTCGAAGCGGAGGACGGAGGAGCTCGGGACGGGAAGAAGGGCAGGGAAGGGACAGGAATAGGAAGGAAGGAAGGAGGAGGAGGAGCCAGCAGTAGCAGCTGGAGAACCTCAGGCTTCTTGATATTGTTGTTTAAAGTGCAACCCCGATCTAATCTGATCTGATCTGGCTCTTTGACTTCTTGCTGCCGTCTGTAAATCTGTGTGTATGTAGAGACAACTGTAGTTCTCCCGGACAAACGAAAGGCTTTGGCCTCTCGTGTAGGGGCCTCTGAGAGGGGCTTCTCGAAGAGGTGTTGAATTTTGATTGCGTTACGTTCGAGAAGAACTTGCGGAGGAGGAGGAGGAGGAGCAGCAGCAGCAGGAGGAGCTGCTGTTTTTACTCGTCAGAACGGAGGATTCGTGCGGGTACTTGATCTCGAGACTTGCCTTAGGGTTGCTTGTGGTGGCATGTAACGTGTCATGTCTTGTCCAGAGTGAAAGATTCCTCGTTGTACCTGGACGTCCTCCCCCGGGACAGCTGTTTTTCAAATTAGTGCATCTTTCGTGCTCTAAGCTCTGCGTTTCTCCCAACTTTGTTCGTCAGAAGCCTTGGTCAATCCTTGTCGTTGCTCCTTTCCAGTAGTACGGCTTTTGGTATTAGGGGATCGCTTTCCGCCTTCCATGGTTTCTTCGTTCAGTCTTGTACTCTGTAAGACCTTACGCGATGTGTATGAAATTTGAGGGTTTCTCTTTGTATCTGCGACCTGCACTGAAATGGAGGAGCAATTCAAAAGATTGTGTAGTTGATGTGTTCGAATCGCATCTTCCTGACTGGTGGTGTTCGTGTACGGATTTGGCCAGGTTCGAGCGGATTATATTATCGGAAGGGCTCTTTCGACTCTTGGCCGATCATCCACTTCGAAGCCATTTGTAGTGTTGTATCTCGGCCCTTCTCGCTCACTGGCAGAAGAGACCCGTTTATGAGACTAGGGTTGCCCTGCACCTGAGGTCGATCATGGTGTCTAATGAGAAGGCGTCCGTGACGAAGGAGCAAAATGACAAGCATAGAAAGGTAAGGGAGTGCCCTTGATTAGCGTCGGTCGCCATCTTGAATTCCTTGCGTACTGTATCATGGAGGCCAGGGCAAGCGCGATGCCCCTTGCCCTCAAGCGCTACGAGGAGCCCAAAATTGACACCCTCAGTGCTGGAGTTTGGTCCGAATGATGATGGTGGTGTAATTTAGTAGATGATCGGTCTTATCTGTGGAAGGATCTGGGGATCCGCCTCTTTGCGACAATGATGGCTTACTTTCTAGAAGACTCAATTGTACGTTCGTTTTACAGGTCTTGGAAGCACTTATGAAGCTGCCGGACAACAAGGAGTGCGCTGATTGTAAAAGCAAGTAAGTTAATATTTTTCCGGATTACGTAGAGGAGGTCAAGTCTACCATATGGAGTATATTGTTGTGCCTGCAATGCTTATATTCTTGAGCTTTGTAGGCTGGATATTGTCGATTTGATATTTTGAGATTGGTTGCTTCCTTGATTTTGCTAGATGTACATTGTCAATTTGTGTTGTCAATTTGTTTTTCACCTGGGACAAATTGAGAAGGTGCGATGGGCGTCATGTGTGTTCACGATAGTTCTCTGTCAATCAATGGTTTGCTTTCGCGAATTGAGGTTCGTAGACATTGCGAATCTGTGGTCCCGTAGTCATCAGTAGTTTGGTCGGCTTCCTTCCACAGATGTTGAAAGTTTCAAATATCAAATTACATCTATGGTTTGAAGAACATGTTGATATCTGCGTGTCCACTGTCAACGTATCATGGCCGTCATCAAATGTTTTTATTGTAGGTTTGAGTTGACGGCTGACCTTTTGGCGGCCTGCATGATCTTTCATCTTTCAACATGTTTGAATTCATTATTTCCTTCCAAAAGACGATATCTCCGTTTGGATGCTGTCAGTCTCAAGGTGTTGTTTATTACGTAGACGGGGCACTCCAGGCACTTTAGTAACATTTTGCAGTAGTTCCGGACTATCTCTGTTGAGCAAGTCGGGATTGTTGGAAGCTTTTGGACGGTTCTCGAAATGTTTTTATTCCCGTGCAGCAGAATCCATTATGTATGCTTGAATTCTGTGATGTTAAGTGATAGTGATTCTTCACTATCAATTAGGGTTATCGGATATTACCCAGCCCCAAAGTGGGACAGTCAAGCGTGTATGTTAATTTTCAAAACGATCTAGAGCTCTGTGGCAACAAACTACGAAAACTGTTCTGTGTTTATCTGCATGCTTTCCAAAACGACTATTTTCTGTGCGTAGCAGGTGTATTATACCTGAGAGGGGAATTGTGTATGAAGTCAATGTATGCCGTTATATAACCAGTTGAGAACCTTAGTGTATCACAAACTTGTTCTTTTTCTAAAGGTTAGTCCTTCGTTTATCTGTGCAGAGGACCACGATGGGCAAGTGTGAATTTGGGAATATTTGTTTGCATACAATGTTCTGGAATTCATCGGAGTCTTGGAGTTCACATTTCAAAGGTGCGATTTATACGTTTACAAATCTAACCAGCGTGGTAATAGACAACATGAAGATCATGATAAAAGCTCTACACATGATCGTATGTGTATATTTTAGTTTGTAAGGAACAAAGAAATTGCGATGCGAAGGAGTACTTCCGAATCATATCTTTAAGTACCTCAGTACGGGAGGTCAAGAATATTACATCAATTTAAAGAAACCAACTGCTGTCGTTGTGAATTCCACCGCACAATCCCGTCGTTGCTGATATCAACTGCTGTGTAGGTGCGATCTGCAACTTTGGACACATGGCTCCCAGAACAAGTGGCTTTTATGCAGAGTAAGTCGTCGATAGTCTCTCCCACAGCGGGAAATTGTTTTCGATTGGGGGGCTACTTGTGTTTAGACATTCCGTCCGCCACATGTTATTTTGATGACCTTTCATCTTATTTTTTTTGTTCTTCGTCTTTATCTTTGTCAAATCTAAAGTCACTCAGTTCGTTTGTCCAGGTATGGGAAATGTGAAAGCAAACCAATACTGGGAGGAAGAACTACCTCCAAACTTCAATAGACCGAAAGAGAGTGATCGTGGTGGACTCGAATCTTTCATTCGAGCTAAGTAAGTGTCAAAAATCGTTCATGTAACGAAGTCGTGATTCATTTACTTCTCCTAAAGATTTAGTTCTAACATTTGCCATCAAGCTTCTACTAAACTTCCTTTCTTTGTGCACGGTAGATATGAAGCCAAAAGATGGGTGCCTAGAACAAATCGGTCCCCCTCCAGAGATGATAGACGATCATCTCGAGAAGATAGACGATCTTCTCGCGAAGGACCGTCTCGGAGAGCACCCTCAGAAGACGATAGAGATCGTAGATCTGATTATGACCGTTACAGTGCCTCTGGTAAAGATAGTGGCGACAGATACGACAGGCGCCATGAAGATGGACACCGAGAACGAGATCATGATCATCGCTCCGATGGGTCTGATTATCGCGAGGCTTCTCGAGCGGGTCAATCCTCAAGTCAGCACGCAGGAACCTCTTCATCTCGAACAGTACCAAATGGAAATCCGGGCCCTCGCCTGTCATCCATCCCAGCCTCTTCTACCACGCGAACCCCACCAGATGGAGTTTCCCCTTTGCGCTCACGAGTACGTATATCATCACCCCAAGTTGTGCAGATACGACAATCACACACAGCACGTCTTAAATTGGTGGGGCATGTATTCAGTGGTGTGGATGAGCAGAACTCGTGCTGCCATCCTTGGTTATATAGGAATGTTGCCAGCAATTGATTGCCGCTCAGTGATGAAGGCGTTGAAGTTCTTGTTGAATCAAGTGATTCCTTAGTTTTGATTGGCAGGTTCTTCTTTCTGATTATTGTGTTCGATATCTTATTTTTGGCAGGAGTCGAGTATCACAATGCCTTCTATCAGAAGCCCCCCACCGCCTTCAGTTCCCTTGTCAGCTACTACTTCCACACCTCCTCCACCTCCTCCTCAAGTGGAAGCAGAAACAAATCTGTTTGACCTTCTTAGCATTGACGATAATGCGTCCGCAGGATCTGGAGCTGCCAGCTCCGTCACTGATGATAACGATTCATGGGCGCATTTCCAATGTAAGGATTATCCCTCGATGTGGATGTGGTAGAAAATGTGTAGGATGTTTAAGCAGAGTGACACACGCTTTTATCAATCTAGTCCGTGATGGGCGCGGATGGAGTCATAGGAGTGCTTCTGTGTAGCGTTTGTAAATAGTATGAAGGTTTTGTTGGTAAGTTTTCCTAGATATATACATGTTGATTTTAGTAGAAAAGACACACATTTGTATTCACAGTGCCCGAACGTCTGTCGTATACATGTTACCTACGTGCTTTGCTTTTGACGCTGAACGCAATACTCTTGTTTTAGTTCTCTTCATTTTCTCCCAATCGTCTGCCAGGCCCACAGAAGAACATTTTATTTACATCGTAGTCTTTTCAGTTCTACTGATTGTGTTCGAAACGGCTACGAGACGTTGTTGTTTGCAAGTATCGTGAGCTGGGCCATAAATCTGATATCGACTATGCCCGTTGCAGCTGCAGAGGCACCCCCATCCAACTCTGCCGATAGTGGAGCCACAAAGACCACTGGTGGATCTTCGTCGGCTGGAGGATCTGTCCAGGTAGCTGAATCCTCCGGTGGGTCAACAAATAAAAATAGTGTCACGGCTGGTTTGGAGGATTTGTTTAAGGGTTCTCCAGATGTCACAGCGAAGTCGGAAGTACAAACGCAGTCGCCCGCACAAGCTCAGGCACAGGCACAGCCAAGAAAGGATGTCCGACAGAGTATTCTTAGCCTTTTTGAAACTGTGAGCATGCATTCAGGCCCTCCATTCCATTTTTTTTTTGCCGAAGTGCCTGTACTTCAAGCTGCATTGGAGGCAATTTTTTAGTTGTCTGATAGTTTGTCTTTTTGTATGTCCGTGTCAGTCAACCATGGCATCTCCGTACAGTGCCCAACAACAACAAATGGCAGCATTGGTTGCTCAACAGCAGTCAATGTTCATGGCTGCTGCCGCAGCTGCATCTGGAATGCAAGGGTCGTATTTCCAGGGTCAGCAACCGCAAAATGCGTCGAAGGATGAGAACGGAGGTCCTACTGTCGGCAAGGGGGCAGCAGTAGGGCAAGTTTGGCCAATGAGTGGTGGTCTTCAGGTTCCTGGAGTGATGGTTAATCCCATGGCTTTCACCAACAGCGGACTTCCCGCTGCGCAGGTAGAGGTTAAAATAGTGCGTAATTTGTCAGTTTCGAAAGTTTCATGTTTAGATTGTCTGCATATGCACTGCCAATCTTTCTCCCCGTGGCCAGTGTATGATGTTCGTACTATGACCCTCTTCTTCAGTCCATTCGTGGGGCCTCTCTCGCTCCTTTGCGTCACTTCTGGTTGCTGTGCTTCTGTCATTGGTTGCCTGATTTGTCCGACGGAGGCGAAGATGCATACTGGTTGTTTATATTCAAATGCACCGCACTCAGGAAGGTAGTTTTTACTCTTAATTTCTGGTTGAGAAGAAGACTTAATCTCAACTGTTGTCCACTGGTTGCCTTGGCAGGGAATTCCATTCGTACAAGCGCCGGGAACGATGCCTAAGAATGTACCAGGGCCATCAGGAATGACAAGGTATGTTTGGACCGCAAACCGTAGTTGAAACAATCTTTGTCCAATCAAGCCGTTAACTCGCGCATGCTGGATGACATAGGGACGAGGACCTAAGGAGTTTCTCTGTATAATTTTTTGATGTTAGGTTGTTCTATTTTTCGGCCGGAGTTTTTAGCCGGCTGTGCATCAAGCGGCTGTTTCTTCATCGTTCCTGTTCATATTTCTGCCAAGCTTGCTATCTGTTGATTTTTGTACGGAGGTTTCCTCGTCTTGAGAACGTGGAGTGCCTGTAGCAGATATTGAAACGTAGGATCTCAATTTTGTCTTTTGAAACTCTGCTCAAATTCGCCGTGTGCCTTGCAGTATGTTCAGTACTCCCGCTGCTGCAGCGTCCTTTTCGTTATCATATGGGGCTCAGGGGCACCCAGTCCCCTATGGCAATGGGCAGCAATCAGCAGCTGGTCTTACCAACACTCACGGAACGGGTTTCTCTAGTCATCCACCAGCTTCTCAACCTTTGAACCTCACATCAGGATCTAGTTATGACTTCTCATCGCTAACAGCAAATGCTTTTACGAAGTTGTGAGAAGTCATTATGCATACGGTTATTCCTTCGCGGGTGCACATTGAGGATAATATTTCAATTGTCTTCTGCTAGATGACTCACAGAACTGGCATCGATTTGCAACACGAGTTTAGAGGATGTTTTGTGATTTATGTGCAACGTTGAATGCCATAGAAGCATTTAACATTCTTCTGTAGGAAAGAGTTCTGTAGAATTTTGTTTAACTGGGGGCAAGTATGTGTGCGGGTGGTTGATTCTTTTTGACCTTTTGAGAAGGGTTGACTAGGTAAACATTGGCGGGAGATCTAGTAAAGCGTGGGCACTTGAATTTCTTGTTGTTGAGGTTCCTAGGAACGGAGCTATATTGTCATTATAGAATGCCCATGGCGCCTGTGCAATAAGGCTGGCCATGATGGGCAGCAAGCGGTTTTCTGATGCATCTATGATTGTATAATTTACTGAGCAACTCTGTATACAGTCAGCAATGCTCTGTAGCATTTAATAGTAAAAAGTTTCCCTTATTCATTCAATATTCACCCCACAAATCATAACGACCTCATCGTATATCTTGGTTACGTGTGTGTTCTTATCTTTTCCAATAATCCGTAGAGTGTCGGAGTGTCAGCTGATATGATAACCTAGTCCAGAGCCTGTGCACGCAATGAGTTTTATGTAGCCAAACGGTTGTCTCACCAAGATAAACTAAGGTTCATAACGACACAGCTCCGTCTTGGAGCAAGGTAGTATTTAGTGGAGAGTTTTCCTGAGTTCTCTTGGAATATCTCAATGATCTATTAACTTAAGAGTCATCCTCTCTAGTCCTGATCAAGCTTTTCTGTCTGGCGATATTTTACGATTCATATGACTTTCAGTCTGTGAATCTAAAATGAAGATGGTGCGTATAGTTGAAGTCTTTTCGGTCTGTTAACCAAGAGGTGTCTGTGATGCTCTGCAGACTAGACTTTCCAAAGGACTGATGACTACAACTCCAAATTATTGGAGCTCTACCGTTTGGAAACCAGCGTGTGAGCACGTTTGAGAGCGAAAAGTTTACTAATATCCCTGCTGCCAAGCTTATTCGTAGTTAGTCGACTTCGTGACTGTGGTAATGGCTATGGTGTTGGTTCTTTTTAGTGATTCTGTTCTATTCTCAGATCAATATATAGCGATTCTAGCATTTCGAAAGTAACGCCCATATTACGAATTATGTATTTTAGTTGCAGAAACCACCCACGAAGTTTATATGTCTGTCACGCCAGTGAAGTGAGCCCACCAAAGTATTGAAATTCCGCGTTCGTTCTGGTTTTGGTTTTGCTTACTCAATCGGGTTATTGCGCAACGACTCGTTTCAATCGGCTCTCTCGATGGATGGAGGAATTTATCATCATATATACGAATGTGTTACACCTCAAATCTAACGAAGGGAGTAGATAGACTTCTGAGAAAACTATTCGAAAATTGAAATGAGTTTGAATGGAAAAGGTCAACTTCCCTGAGTAGATATTCTTTTTCGTTCATATTTGTTGGACAAAGTGGTTGGTAGAACTCTCAACCAGAATGTATCGTGAGGGATCCTTTGAAAATGCACTGTGTCCTTGTAAAAGCAACGTAAAACCTGTGAATCATTGCATGAGTTGTTTGGTCTGTCTTCTTTCTTGTTGACAAGCAACTGTTCCTTTGGCTTGCTGTTTAGCTGTTTCGTCCTCATCAACCTTCATTCCGCAACAAGGTGAGAGGATGGGTGTATTTCGTAAATTCTGGCATTTGTCACACTTAATTAAATACAATACTAAAATAATGGAAGTCTCATAAACAAAGATGAATTGGTAGATGAAAAATACATGTTTCAAGTCTATGAATAGAAAATAACTAAATAATCACTTTCGGACATGAACATTTTCAATTGCTTTGGTACCATGTTTTGTACATAATCGTTATTTCACCTTTTCGAAATAATTCGCATGAAAAAAGGAAAGGCTTTTCAGGTTGTTGCGGCTCTGTTTTTCACTCCCGATTTGCCCAGACCGTCTCAGGAATTTGGATCACATTATTTCACTTTACTCCGTTTTCCTCCTCAATTGCTCTTCCCATTTGACCCAACCTAACCGTATGGTTTTCGCCATGAAGCAGTTCACGAAGAGCCTTCTCCCCTTGACTTTACCTTCGAGCGTCCAATATGGCACTGTGGTCAGATTAATTTTCGCAAATTTGGAATCTAAAATTGTAACGCTAGATTTCAATAGGCCTAGTGTATAACGAACTGAATGAAATTGCTAACATTAGATCCCCAATTTTGGAATCAGTTTTCACATTCTTCACAACATCAAACATGGCTGCTCATTCTTAATTACAAAACTACCTATACGTCTCTGATTTGTATTGAAATGACCTAACTATTCAACTCAACTATAATTCAACATAACTAGCGGTAATCTTTTATATCACTCATGGATAAAGCACACTAATTTATCAGTCTAAAAACTATAATCCTTCCTTTCCTTGTTATGGATTCTTTTTCTCTTGACACTGACACAATTTTTAAATTTTCGTCACATCATGTCTAATTATTTTTCCCATGTATAAACTATCACTAAAAATTCATGTTCTTTTTTATATTTTCTTAAATAAAAATTAAAAATAATTTATTTTTTCATCATTTTACAATTTTCAAATTAGAACATAAAATTAATTACATAATTTCGTTGTAGAAATTAGATCAATTCTATCATATTATAAATTTTGATATTTTAAATTAATCATCAGGCATGAATTTGTTTATATTTCAAAATCTAGATTATCATATCATTTTTTTCTATAACTTGCTCAAAACATGTTAACTAATAAAAGTAAAGTAACTTACGATTACCATATTATGATACATCTATATGTCATATCTCCTAACTACAACATTATCATTTTAATTTTTAATTTTTTATGATTTGATACATTAAACTGTTGAATTAAATATCCTAAATGTTCTTATAATCTCTTAGATTGAAATGAGTACAATTTATAAACACTCTATATAATATAATTACACAGTATCATCAAAACATTCAGGAGCGGAGCCAGGATTTTACAAGAAGGGGAGCAGCTTGCTAGGTAGTGCTGCGGGCGAATTTTTTTTGGGCTAAATCTGTTACTGAAGTGTGTTAAAACCAAAACTCCATGACAGAGAATTCAAAAAAATAGATCCTAATTGTAAAAAGTTCAAATTCTATGTACTTATCCAACTGTACTGTGTGAAAACTGAAACTCCTGTCACCCATGACAGGAAATTCAAATAAGTAGATCCAAAAAGTAAAAGAACAGAATTTTGTGTATCAATCCAACTGTATTGTGTTACAACCAAAGCTCCTATCATCCATGACAAAGAATTCAAATAAGTAAATCCAAATTGTAAAAACCAAAATCTATATATTAATTTAACTGCACTGTGTTACAACCAAGACTCCTCTCACCCATGACAAAGAATTCAAATAAATAAATCTAAACAGTAAAAAAATCCAATTTCCATGATAGAGAATTCACATAAGTAAATCCAAACTGAAAAAAACAAATTCTGTGTATTAATCCATCTGCAAACCTCGTGTGCTCAGCACATGAAATTTATTGATAATATTGTCGGTGGTGATTCCTTGTGCTAACTTTGTTTCAACAAACAAACTGATAGCATGAGCAAGGTACCCATCCCCATTTTGTGACTCAACTGTATTTTCACAATCTTCAATGTTGAGAACGAACGTTCTGTTGACTTAGTACTGACATGTAAAGTTAAAGCCAACCTGATAAGTCAAAAAACAAGTTGATAAGTAACAGACTTCTTGAGTTCAAACATCTTTATAGCTAAAGCAAAAAGTCTTGAATTCCAGAAAAAGCTTTGTTTAACCTGAACTCTATGCAAAATTGCAGAATCTGTTGATCTAACATCACCATATCATATTGTTCAAAGTCATGAGGATACATCTGCCACAAATCAATTAGCTTTGAGACATTTTGATGAATGCGAAGGTGGTTTGGCCATAAATAGACAATCCGTGTGAACAATGCAGACGAACATTCAAGTATACAGTCATAAGCTCCTTTAACTGTGAATCTACGACGTTGAAGAAGATTTCCACACGATAATAATGATTGTAGGTTATATAGTCAGCATTGCGACAAAGACGTACCATAAGCAAATAACTTGATTCCATATAAGCTTCAACGTTGTTTATTGTGAAACAAAAAGATTGAATCGCTTCATATATTGTCTTCCATCCTTCTTTTGAACTCATTTCTTGCAATTCATACTTTCTAACAATAACAAGGTCTATGAAGTTGAGGATGTCTTGGTTCTTATGCTCTAAAGCTTTAGAAAGAATTACAGACTTGCTTAAAACCGACTTCATAATGTGTAACATTAGAACAAAGTCAAAGCTGCACATCGCTTTCAACAATCTTGATGCTTTTGCTTTTAGATCTGTCACAATTGTATCTTCCATAATAATTTTAAAGAACTTTGACAATGGAATCATACAGATCAAACACTCGACAAATAGAAACAAAATAAGAATCTCATCTCGTTTCTCATGGCCGCCGGAGTGATTGCTCCTGATTTAATCCGCGATATGTTTTCATTTCTTCACCAAAAATTGCATCACAGATACAAACTGATTGCAATTCTTGAAACTAATCCGCACGTTTACAAGAAGCACATATCGTGACACATATTGATGACAATTCAACAAAGAATCGGCAAATTTTGATGTGATTTTTAACTATTGACATCAAAGCAAATTGAAGTCGGTGTGCAAAACAATGAACATAATATACTGAAGGTACTTCTCTTCGGATGATAGTCTTCAATCCGTTAATATTCTCACACATATTTGATGCTTCATCATATACTTGTCCTCGTACACGGGATAACAAAAGACCGTGTCGGCTATAACACTAGGGTTTAGAGAGAAGTTCACTCGAAAATAGAAACGTAAACTCTGAAGATGAGAAATACCAACAATGGTTCTACTCTCCGTTATATAGCTCTCACCAACAAGTACAAGAAGATAAGATCTTATGCCCACCATCCATCCCTCTCCTAGTGAATGGATGACGTGGCTAATAACCAAGTACACGAATCGTTGACGAGACGCTCCCAACTAACACACTAACTAACACGCTCTATCCTTACCTACAAACACACGGATTGCTGACGTGGCACTATCAACTAACACATCCACTCGGTACCTATCAAGTGCGCGGATTGCTGATATGGCAGCTATGACGAGTGCACACTAAAGTATCTATATCAATATTTAGAGTAATCTATACTTGTGTTCTAACTAACTAAAGATGATTACATCGGCTTAAAGTAAAAACAATGGCGGCCATCAACGATCTGAACGTGTATCAGCAACATGGATCATATCCAAAAATCTGTCAGACCTCAGAATCAAAGACATTTGCTCCCTTGTTGATTCATCTTGAGCATCATCAATCAGTAAACAAAAAAAGTTGTCACCGATCTGCTTCACAATATGTTCTAGGACACATGAAATCATGGCCCTTAATATGTACTTATGAATGTTTGGAGATGTCATCGTAGCATTTTTTAGTGCACAATCAAGATAAATGCATTGATAATCTGTAGGATGTTGATTGATTAGAGTAAGTAGCTCAAGAAAATCTCGACTATGTAATGATTCTCTAAACTCGTCATGATCACGAAAAGCAAGATCTTGATGTGCCAGAAATTGCACTGTCTCGATAGATGCTGCCGAACAAAGTCTGTGATCAACTTTTTGTTGTTTAGATTGAAGATCTAGTGTGGCTTCAATTAAGAAATGCTGATGTGATAATGATTTTCAAGCAATGAAGTGCAAAGAGTGAGCAGAATAGTGTTTACCAACAAGTTTTGACAATTTACAATCTTTTTGAATAATTTTGTTCCAACTTGCAACACCTTCATTGACAAATTACCTCAAAGCTTGTGTATATTGCAAAAATAAATAAATAAGTAAAGCAATACACATCATATTTTGCAAGGCTGTATTCAAAACAAGGATGTAAAGCAAACCATTGAAAACAGAAACGGAAAAGTTTACCAACCTGTTTTACAGAAGTACATTTCGAGAATTGTGGTTGAAAAGGTCCTTTAGATATGTAAGCTTTCCAAATTCCATCCCTTTGAGAATCTAGGTAGAATGAAATGGTTGGTCTCAAACCTAAAACGTGCTCTAACGTGACCACAAACATATACTCTTCACATTTACCCTTCGATGCAAGAGATGTTAACATCATGGATACGGACAAACTTGACTTCTCTACCCACAAAACAATCAAAAATAGAAAACACAAGAGAAATGCTTTTCCAACCTTGAAACAATCAAAAACAGAAATAGAAGAGTCTGATTTCTCCAACCACAAAGAAGCATCCAACTATCATGTGTACATATAAAGTTTTTCATTTCGATCCTAGTGAAACTTATAGTTCAAGAAAAATAGCAAAATTAATGAAGCGTCAACATCTTTAACAAATATACACAAATAAGTTACAATGTGCAAAAAAAACATAACAGAAGCATTAGAATCAATTAGAAGATAGAAGAAGACTCAGAGAATCAAGAAGTCAAATGTTATTTTTTTTCTTACTTTTGTGTACATTTGTCTTTGTTTTCCTCTATCTCGAGCACGTGACCTTGAAGACAAACAGTTTGTTTGTGGAGCAATCTTGTGGGCAATTAAAGTCTCTAGCTGGAAGGGTGCTTACTGTCGTGTGACTGAATAGTTAGAGAAAGAAAATTCTTGCTCTTCGCGGACTGTAGAAAATGATCTGAATGCGTCTCCAAATGTTCTTTGTGCTTCTATGAAGCCGACACATATGAGTATCTTGAATCAAACAAACAATTTGAACACATGATGTACATGTATGTCTTGCATCACAGAGCATGGAAGATTTTTTCTGCAAAATAAAATCTCTTTGTGATTTAAGTAGTTATGACTCTCAAAGTGCAGTTTAGGACCCAAATATGTCTTTTCGTCAAATGGCTATCTTGCCTTGTAATAGTATATTTGTCATTCCTACACGTTTAATCACACTAATTGCGAATAACTTAAAATTTACAATCATGACATTGATCAAGGAAAAACAATATAGTAGTGTAAAGTATCCAGGAGATAGAGAAAGTGTCAAGATTAATGATAAGAAGACACTATGATGAACCCAAATACACTATGTTCAAAAACATCACAATGAAAACATGTTTTTTCTTTCTTGGATTATTCAAAGTATTAGACTCAAATAACTTCAATGTGAAAATCTAACTTACAAACAATTTGTTTGTGGAGCAATCATGTGGGCAATTAAAGTCTCTAGCGGGTAGGATGTTGATTGCCGCTTTGAATAACTGGTCAGTCAAGAAAATCCCTGCTCTTCGCGGACTCTGGAAAATAATCTGAATGCTTCTTCAAATGTTCTTTGTTCTCATATGAAACCTGCCCAAATGAGTATCTTGAATCAAACAAACATTTTGAACCGATGCAGAAAGAAACGAAATGCTACTACGAAGTATGCCCGAATGAGTATCTTGAATCAAACAAACAGTTCGAATAGATGCAGAGGAAAACGAAGTGCTCCTATGAAGTCTGCTCGTATGAGTATCTTGAATCAAACAAACAGTTCGAACAGATTGTCCAGGTTAAAACTTTTTTTTAATATATATATAAAATATAGATATTTATATAACTTCGCCTTTTTTAATCTGTTCTTCATTCTTGCACTTTTTTTAAAATGAGTCAGTGTAATGAACACACAAAGTGAGTTTATTTTGTAAAACCAAAATCACCATGTCATCCAGTATAATTTTAGTCTCAGTTTAATCTTCGATCCACATTTTTCTCTAAAAGAGTTATACGTCTCTCTTCTTCCCAACGGCCTCACCAAGAGCAATTCATTCCTCATATGTGGCGTTTCATCCTTCGAGCCGCATCTGAAAGGGCTGCGACTTTCGTGCTTTAAAAACCCCAACAATCGCTCAATAAACTGAACCAAAATCTATATACACCCTTATTAATTTAAAACATACTCTCTGTCGGATTCCAACCAATGTGCTCATACAATTTGTGTCCATAAACAAATCTTGCATAATATAATCAAATATTCATTCACTCCAAAGTGCACTCATCAAAATTAACCCGAATTCTGGAACTATATCACCTGTAAAAGAATGGAAGCACGGAAGAGCGAACGGAGATGAGAACGCCGTCCGTCCATACTCTAGTCCCGTCCGTGGCTATGGTGGCGGCAGGAGCGAGAGAGAGAGGAAGAGAGGCGAAGAGATTTGGTGACGAAGATTTGGCGAGAATCTGAGACTCGCAAGCGCAGGAACGAGAAGGAAGGCGTGTGCTGCAGATGGTGTCGGTCGGAGCTATGGCGATGACGCTCCCAGCGTTCGCGTGTTCGGGATTACAAGGGAGTCGCCTCGGAGGCAGGAGCGAGTTGACAGGAGCGGCTGTGGAATCTGGACAGAAATTTGTTGCCGCGCGGAAAAGAGTTGCAGCTGTGGCCAGTCTCGGGTGGAAATCGCCATCCGAGCCTCGGGTGAACATCGGTGCTCGACGCGATGGATTGTTTCAGCAGCAGCAGCAGCTCCCCGTGCTGTCCAGCGACGGACATTTGAAGAATTTGGATTTTCGGTGGGCTTTCTTTCTGTAATTTGGGTGGTGCACTTCGTGGGACAGATGGTTTTGTTCTATTAACTTTATAAACACATTTAATTTCGACTCTTGTATCTAAAGGGCTTGAGTGAATTCGAATTTTGAGGTTTTTGTAGCCACAGGACTTCTATGCAGCTGGTCATATTGTTCGTGTCTTTTAATGTGAAGGTGCTGGATTTTAGGAGAACATTTCTTAGCTGGAAACCATGTTTCGAGGCTGAATTCTTCGGCAGTTTTCGTTTTTCGCAAGCCTTGTCCTACAAAGCTGATTCCTGCATGTGATGGTTGTAATGCGTAAATTTACAGGTGTGGTTCGCTAGACATTCGAGCTGCCAAGAAAGGAGCACCTCCACTTATGCCTGCCGTCATGACACCATCTGGACCAACTGATCTATCTACCGTACTACTTAGAAACAGAATTGTGTTTGTTGGGTCTCCTGTCAACTCTCAGGTTGCTCAGCGAGTCATTTCGCAGTTGCTGACACTCGCAGCCATTGATGAAGATGAGGAGATCAAGGTGTGGAGCCAAATTTTCTTCACTTGCAAGCTTCTCTGTCGCAGATATTTTTGGTATGGTAGATTGCTTCATGGAGCATTTAAAAAGCGAAGGAAATCACGGTTTTTCTGTAGGTGATTCCAAGGAGTTTTCTGTTGACCTACGTAATCAATCTTGGGGTTTTGTTTGCAGATGTACATCAATTGCCCCGGTGGCAGCACATACTCTGTATTAGCAATATATGATACAATGGCTTGGGTAAGTCTCCAAACCTAATTTATGCTTTCATGTAAATAGTTCTGTTATATCCTTATGCTCTTGCTGATTGCTAGGAGCTCGGACACATGAGGTCCCTAATAGGTCATGCATACAGAAAGGTGTGTGGATTTATAAATTTATTCTGGTACTAACAAGCAAGCCCTTAAACATCATACCATGAAACGAGTGTATCTAATCACTTGCAGTTAATGTGTTCCTACCGTATCCGTTTTGAATGCTTCCCTGAGTAGTAACTTTTCTCTGATTGGTATGAATAGGCATTTCTAATCCACGGCATTTCGAGTAAGGTCTTGTTGTAAACAAGTTGCTGGTGTTGTGTTGATATTTTGCAGATCAAGCCCAAAATCAGCACGGTTTGTTTTGGAATAGCTGCTAGTCAAGGAGCTCTGCTGCTCGCTGGGGGTGAGAAGGGTAGGCGTTTTGCGATGCCGAATGCTCGTATCATGATACACCAACCCCAAGGAGGTTGTGGGGTAAATTACGATGCTCCTACAACCTGATTTTGATTTGCAGTTTGGAGACTTTGGGAACAGCCGTTCAAATTGGATGGCCCGTGTAGTTTACGTTAATGGAATCGAGTATCCATGAATGTTTAAGTTCAAATTTAACGCTCAGATTCATCAGAATTAGTTCGTTTACATTCACTGGATTCACTGGTGGTACACTTCTCTCCCCTCTCAGTGATGTTCATTTTCAGAATTTTGAAACGATTTCCAAACACTCCAATGGTTTAAGATCAACCGCAATCGAAACACTACGAGCCTTCACGACATCTATCTGAAAGCCGGTCTTTGGAAGTGGAATCGGCCCTGTATTTCACGAATGAGAACTTGAACTAAATCATGCTTCGTTTAGATCTGTTCTTACGCCAGTGCACAGTCCTGTTTTTTTGTCTTGCATTCATCTATTGAATCTGTCCCAGAATTGATGGCAAATTTCCTTGCTGACTTACTGTCACTTGTTTGCAGGGAACAGCCGATGACGTGCGTCGCCAAGTAAATGAAGTGATGCAATCTCGAGATGTGCGTTCTCTGCCCTTAGATTATCTACGTATCCGCATTGTATTAACGAAGTTCTTGCGTATCTCATAGTATAGGTACCTGTGTGTTAATACCCTCTAGACGACTGCGGAAGAAAAGCTTATTTTGAAGATATCGGTCTTTCTGGTTGTCACTACATCTTTTAGCCTTTGTTGATATTGTTTTACAGGAGTCCACAATATATGCTTATTTAAGCGTGACCATCTGAGTTTCAGTATCTGTAGTTCTGCCATCCATGTCCCTACCTTTTTATTGCCTGATATTAGTTGACTAGATTAGGTATTCTTGTACCTCAGTAAGGATATTTCATGCTTTTTTGTCGACTCAAAAAATTCTGACTGTCTCGTTGCTTGCATTCTTGGTTGACAGAAAATCGACAAGATGTATTCTGCGTTCACCGGGCAACCGGTAGAAAGAGTGCAGAGTTTCACCGACCGTGACCGATTTTTCTCTGCTGCGGAGGTGAGTTCATTTTCATCAATTTGCCTACTAACGTGCATTTAGATTTCAGGTCAAGTCTCCTTCATGTCTTCGTGTAGACAAATCGTGGTTTCATGGGATAGAATGTCTAATTTAGGTTGTACCTTCATGTCGAAGCGGAGGGGAGCTTATGTATGCGTTGCCTTTGCAGCGCTCGAATACAATTCTATATTGCGTTCACTAAGTTGCTCTATTTGGTCTAACTGCAGGCTATGGAGTTCGGGCTAATTGACGGCCTTCTAGAAACAGAGTACTGATGAGCAGCAGAGTTCCCTATTCAGATTTCTCCTCACCTTTGAAATTCACACCACGTGATTCGTGGCTGTTCTTTGTAACTCAGTTAAGTTGGCATGCTATCAAGGTTTCAATCCAACAAGGTAGTTTTAGTATGGTGACACCTAATCGTTTCCAATGCTCCATAGAATTGTCTCCGGGTGGACTTTGGTAAAGCTGGGGCTTAGCTGGCTCACAGTTCACTCTAATGTACATGGCTCTCGGAAAGATGTTTTTTTCACTGCAAAATTTGTAAGTAAAGAGCAATCATTCTTGCTTCTTGCGGTTGAAGTTCGTTTGCTGTTTAACGGCTTTTTGAATGACTATGAATGACCACTGTTTCATCACATGCTATGGTATTTTGGCTCCTGAGTAATGTTTGGTCCTCGTAAACTTGGCTCCTGGTGTCCTGAATTTCTGCTTAATGTGTTGAATGACGTCGTTCAGACGGTGCCGTTTCACTCGTGGCAAGTAATTGCAGTGGAAACAGCGTCTGTATGGCGTAGTTCCCGTAAGGGAAATCTATGACAACATAGGAGTTTTCTTCGATCTAACAAAATGCTGATGATACTCACGGTCCTGTCCAGTCCGGACTACGAGGTCGAGTTCTGTTCAGACTGGACACTATCACGCACTGCTTGGGAGGAGACTAGAGTCTGAATTATGGGCAGGTCCAGTTTCTTTGAACTCCCTACGGCAATTAGAGGCAATCTATTCTACACGTCTTGTATTTGACAATCTTCAGTACCTCTTGCGAGCCACGGCAACTTTGAAGTTCGAGAACTCGCCATCAAACTGCTTCTCCATTCTCGAGCTCGTACCAATTACACGGTACAGTCGCGAGCTCCTGATAATGTCCGAACACCAAGCTTAATAATTTACAACATTCTTCGTTATGACCGAAAAGAAGTCACGAAGACAACAGCCAAAGAATACCAGGGTCAAGCAAGTTTTCCACTCAGTGGAGAATCACTGTCGACGACCAAAACATTCAGCACTACCATTGCAGCGGAGTCGTTAATCTAGAAAAGAGCTTCATCTGTACCATGGGGAACAGTGGAGAACACATTGCTTTGCACGTGAATACGTTCTGTCTCTGAATTCCAACACATGCATTTCCGTAGTCCCAATGTTCACGGAGAGAATCTTGCTTGCGTTGACGTGGCCGACCGACAGGCAGGGTTTCTGGGTCCGTTTCGGCCTAAAGCTAGAGTGACGTCTGGGAGCCCGTCAGCCGGTGATCCGGTCGCGGTCCACGCAGAGATGCCGGTAAGAAGACATTCCGCGAGTAATACTTGGGCCGGAATTTTCTCGTCCGGCGTGCAGGTAGCAGTCTCAGGGGAGAATATTCCGTTCACACCACGGGGGTTTGCAAAAAGCGGCTATTATTGACCTCTTTTCGTGTACTCCTATCCCTTCGTTAAACCCTGGAGGAATGTTATCCACTTCAAGACCCAACTCTCCCTCGTTCCCCTTCCTATTGTTCCTCACCAGTCCTCTCTGTTTTCATGGTGCTCTGAGCTACGGTACACTCGAATTCTGCACACGCCAGCCTCGTCGAGGCCCGAGCTCAGGCCAGCTCTTGCTGTGGAGAATCGTTGGTCTATCTGGTTGACGTGAATGCTTTAAAGGATTTCCTGTGAGCAGGGCATTTTTTCTTCTGGATGTTCGTGCACGAGCTCTGAAGTGGACGGGATTTCTGTGATTCTGATTGTTTCCGTTTTTCCGAAGGTTTTGGAGTGAGGACGAGCTCGGATATTGGGCTTGAGGGTCCTCGAGAATTGGATGCGGAGACAGTGGTTGGATCAGACGCCTCCCCGGAGAGGAGGTGACTAGCTGTTGACGTTTTCGTTGCTGACGGAAGGCAATTCTCAAGCGGGAAATCGCTGGTTGGGTGTACTCGGTCGGTGGGAATCTTCCCTGAGCTTAACAGAGAATGCAGAAAATTTGAGAATTTTGTAAAATTCTTAACAGGGACGCAGGGAAGTTGAAATGTTGGTCTCCAGGGGACCGCTTAGGACCTCTGCTCTGCCAGCATGTGCAGACTATTCAGTACATTCCTCTCTTGGTGGCACACGACAGCTCCGCAGGTGTTCAAAGCCTTCCCAGTCAGGTAGCCGACCTCTGACGATCCAATGTAGAGACGAAGGGCGTAAATTCGAGAGAGTACGAGAGGAGGAACTTAAGCGGATTAAGAAACCTTTAGTGGAGAAGGAGGCAATCAAGTCGACTCCTTCTTCTGTGGGTTTTGAAGATGGGGGTGGTGCTATCAATGGAGTCAATGGGAGAATCCTCAAACCAAGTTCTATCACAATTCCCGTGGGTGATAGAGAGGTAAATGCCAAATTTGTCCTGTATCAGTCTGCCATGGATTCATGCATGAAGCTTTTTGCAACATTTGTGGATGATCTCTTTAAAAAACTTCAGGTTTTGATCACATCTGAATCAAACCTCGGCTCGCGTGATTGCTGCACTTCCAGCTCGTCCTTTTGGGAAGAACTCATTATCTTTTCTGTTGTTGGTGGTTTCATGAACTCTTTTCCTATGAATTTGTGCAGATTACAATCGAGACTGGTCTCATCGGACGGCTTGCAAATGGGGCTGTGACGGTGACAGATGGAGAAACTGTGCGTAATGAACGCACTTTCATGACTTTTTGGGAAGCGCAGTATTTTTGAGTAGGTTCTCAGGGTGGGACAGGGTAGGAGGACCCTCCTTTGACAGGTCGTTTGTAGAGGGCTCACTCCTAGGGGCCGATACTGGACGTGAGAACTTTCTGCCCTTAGAAAATCGATTGTGCTGTTGATCTTAACTTATGCGTTTCGGTCTGGATGCTGTTTGCAGATAGTGTATACGACAGCTTGTACTGCTTCTGACGCGGTTGAACCCTCCGATTTCGTTCCTTTAACAGTAAACTACCAAGAGCGTTTTTCTGCCGCAGGACGGACCAGGTTCAGCTCAATCTCACTGTTTTATTAGTAGGCTTCTGTGGGTGGAAAATATGAAGTAGCCCAGAAAGAAGGTCTTTGATCTCAAATTCTGCACAGTTTTTCTTGTTTGTAGCATTATGTATCTCCGCTGCTTTTTCCGGGCATCTTTAGGAACGTCATACGGTGTCGGATGTGGTATGTCCCTGTGGTTAAATGCCTCGAAGATAGTGTTGCCCGGAAGAAGCAGCAAGTGTTTCCCAGGGCTTCCGTATTGCCTTATCTTTTGGATACACTTTGTTTCACGTCTAACTTTTTGAGTTTCATGCTGTTTTAAAGCATCCCCTCACGTTGGAATCTTGTCTTGCTACCATCTCTGCTGCAGTGGTGGATTTATTAAGAGGGAAGGCCGAACAAGAGATCATGAAGTATGTACGAAATGGCTCGGAATTTTTTAGCCTAGCAGTGTTGAATCCCACTTAATTTTTTCCTGAATGTGGAGTTTCACAAGCTCGTTAGTCGAAATTACTACAATTTCAATGTCGTCGATATTTGTGTAAAAGAAAAGACGTTAGTGTACTTTCAGGAGTTAGAATTTCCCATATGTTTATTCTGTTCGTCAAAAGTTTGACGTCTTGATTCTCACGCTTCGTCGCGAATCAAAGGGCTTGTCAGCAAATTTTGCATAAGAATGTCTGTAATGCTTCGTCCAAGTTCAGGAATTGTCTTCATATGAAAGGCAGTGAAGTTGAGGATGATTTTAGTCCAAGTAATCAGCTGCCTCCATCAAAGTACTTCAAGGCTGATGAGATTGTGGTTGTTGATCACAGGTACTTGTGTGCAGGCTTATCGATAGGCCAATAAGGCCGATGATTGCAAAGGGTTTCAACCACGAAACTCAGATTCTTTCGTGGGTATGTGATTTGCTAACGAAACTCGAGGAGCTGCTTGAAGATTCTGTTTATGCTGAAGAAAAATCAATCGATATTCTTTCCATTCTAGAGTACACATCAGATTTACAAAAAGTCCTAACTTGACTCTTTCAGGTCTTGAGCTATGACGGCTTACATACTCCAGAACCTTTGGCAATCACCGCCGCTGGTGCAGCATTGTAAGTGCCCATTGAAATTCCACTTGCATAATACTTCAAGGTTTATAATCCTGTGAGGTTTCCGATGCCTGGATCCTCCAAGAACTCGTTAACAAGTTCCCTTTCGAATGGTGACTTACATGATAAATTGCTGACTGTAACTGACTCTTCATGCTCTGTCCCATCTATCAGAGCTCTGTCAGACATCCCAATTGCAAAACCAGTGGCAGGTGTGCGGGTCGGTCTGATCGATGGTCAGTTTGTTATCAATCCCACCGTTCAAGAAATGTCTCTCTCGAAGCTAGATATGATCGTTGCCGGTACCGACAGCGCAGTACTAATGATCGAGGTTTGGTTTTCTGAACTTTGGGGTTTAAAGAATTGTCGATTATCTCTCACTCCTTTTTTTTTATTCACAAGAAGCAGGTATTGCTAGTTTGAATCCGGGTCTGTATGCAATAGCATGAACTCTGAGAAATTATTTGAACAAGTGTTGCGGATCTTGGGACACCAAATTGACACCAGTGATGACGGCACGCAGGGTTACTGCGAGTTTTTGCGAGAAGACGTTCTGCTGGATGCTGTTGCGGTTGGACAGGTATGGGTTCTCTCAGTTACCAGCAACTCATCTTCTTGACCTGATCAAACTGTGAAATTTGAGAATATTTATTGTGAGATGTAAGTGAATCGAAGCTCAAATCTGGTGTCTATGATACTTTCTGCCATTGTGCATTTCAATCAATTTACTGCCGTTTCATGCCATGGTTATTCTACTTCTGCATTGTTTGAAGCTTTTTACAAATACCTTCGAGCTGGATTAGGAACGCATATGTTGAGGAGTAAAGGAAGCCTCAGCCTGCACATCATGAAGCGACAGTCCGGCATTATTCGACTGTATGAAGAATTTCGTATGAGTGCAGGACTAACTTGGTTCTAGTGGGCTTTCAGGCTGCAATTTCTACCATCTGCACTGAGATTCAAAAGTTCGCAGCTACAGTCGGTAAACCAGCAAAATACGACGATATACATATTCCACCACCAATTTTAGAGAAGTATATCATGGTACTTCCTCACCTCTGATGGATGTGGCACATATTCTACCTCAGCTAAGTTTCAAGTTTGACCTTATGAGGGCAGAGAGCTAGATGCAGATTGCCTGAGTCCTGTACCGCGACGCAGGATGTTCAAAAGGAGCCTGTAGTCATTAGCTTACTGCCATAATGCCATAAATTGAATCTGCTCCTTGTAAAAGTCCTCAATAAGCAATTCTGTCCTACCTTTTCTCACTTAATGGACATTACTTACTGTTATTGGTCAGTTCATAAGTCCAGTTAATGAATCAACCCCTACCCTCGTTAAAAAAATCAACCCGACCTATGGGTTTTGTAACCTTACACTTGTTTTGTTATCTAAACCACGATTGGTAGAAACTTATTTTAAGATCATTTAATTGAACTGACGGTTGTTACAGGATCTGCAATTCAGCCTTGCAGATCACATGACAAGCAGATATAAATCGTTTACATATTCTTTGTTGTTTTCTGGTTTTATCTGACAGTTTTACTCTGCCAGCTTTTGTACTACTGTGAGATGCAGACGTCTGATCGTCATTTTTAAAGCCTCTCTTGTATTTTGGTCACAATAAGTTTGGACTAGAGAGGGGTCTCCTAGAGTTGAAGGTTTGTCGAAAATCGATTTTTGTGAGTGAGTTACAAGACGTCGGCGTTTCTTCTCAGGACATTGTTGGAGATGAGCTGGAGAAGGCACTGCAAACCAAGACCAAAAGACTCAGGGGTCAAGCCATCGCTGTCCTGGAAGAGAAGTTGATGAAGTTGCTAACTGAGGAAGGTGTTACAAGAGAAGAGCCAGCTGCAGTAAAAGAAGATTTAGTTCCAATTGAGGAGGTCGTTTGGGATGAGGAACAAGATGGCGAGTTAATTGTTGAGGATGGAGAGGTTGATGAAGGAGACATTCACGTGAAACCTGTGTTCAAAAAGCCAGTCACTGAGGTATTGTCGAACTTATCGTTGTGAGCAGATGAATTTGGTTCACCATTTAGACTAGAGGAGATGAGACATAAAGATTGGGTTTTGAGTGATGAAGAGACGGGTAGAATTCGTTGAATTCTTTCTAAGATATACGGTTGGTTTTTCCCACAGCTTTTCGAGCCAATCGACGTCAAGCTGGTCCTGAAAGAGGTTTCTTCGAAAGTTATGCGCAAATTTATCATACAGGTGGAGAAACTTTTCCCTTATGTGACCAAGTTTTGACTAAGTGAATAGTTTACACTTCCGATTCACCACCATGTTTGAGACTTGGCAACAAAATCAGCTTTAAACCTAGCCTTGTTCCGTTTCAAATGGATCTCTTGATTAGATTAGTCTGAATTCCTAGAAATGCGTTTCATGATGAGTTTGGATTAGACTGATGAAACTTTGACGACAGAAAGGAGTACGGAGTGATGGTCGAGGCGTCACGGATGTTCGCCCGATCGAGTCGAGCTGTGGACTACTTCCCAGGACTCACGGCAGTGCTCTTTTCACACGAGGAGAGACACAGGTATGGAGCCAGTTCGGCGATCAGTGTCAAGCGATCAGTTTGCATCTGTTTGAGAATTTGGTTTCGAATTTAACAATAAAAAGCACCCGTTGTTTCAAATCTGGAAAAAAACTTGTAAGTTTTGTTGGGCCCAATTATTCGCTTACGGCATATAACTGTTAGTAGATGAAATATTTTTGGGATGAAATCGGTACTCACTCTTTGCCCGTATCAATTATTCCTGATGCTGTGAACTGCATCTGGTTGCTTACAGGCTAATGTAAGTTGTTTGCAATGACGTAGGCCTTGGCAGTGGCGACACTAGGTGGAGGTGACATGGCTCAACGGGTTGACAATCTTACTAATACTGAGGACAAAAGAAGATTCTATCTTCAGGTTCATACTCACTTACGGTCGTCGTGCAGTTTCTCCTTATCTGTTCTCGTATATGGGGGAAATCCCATCACGAGTCAGACCCCTTTACTATCAAGCAGTCCTGTCTGTTGTAGTGGTCTCCTGTACTACCATTGCCTAGAGTTTTCATATGAGCAAAGCTAAGAAAGAGCGCAGGCTTTATAGCAAATAGTCTTCGTTAAATACAGGCTTCTCCGTGCCATCGGCTTGACTATCGGTTGTAGCTAGGCTTACTATCCACATATGGAGCTTTATGCTGTCGTACTCTATTTCTTGACGCTTCTTGTTTCAATGTAAGCTTTTCAGACTACAATAGTAGGTATGAATTCAAATTTAGGATGGATGGGTTTTCTTTGAGCTGTGAGGAGAAATATAAACCAGTGATTCGTTTTCTAATTCTTCTCGTTTCTTTACATTCTAGTACGCATTTCCTCCATCCTCAGTCGGTGAAGTTGGACGTTCTGGAGCACCCAGTAGGCGAGAAATTGGCCATGGTACGCTCGCAGAGAGGGCATTAGAGCCAATCTTACCAACGATGGACAACTTTCCATACACTGTACGCCTTGAAAGCACCATCACTGAAAGCAACGGCTCCTCAAGGTTAAAACTTATTCCGTGGTGCTACTTCTGAATGTGGCTAAAGCTATAGTTACTCAAAGTGTCCCTTTTCGATTAGAAGCAGCTGTATATCACATACGGTTCCTCACGACTATACCTGCTGTGGTATATGACTCTTTGCCTCGTACAGTATGGCGTCAGTTTGCGGTGGTTGCCTGGCCATGCTGGATGCGGGGGTCCCTTTGAAGGGTTCCGTGGCTGGAGTTGCAATGGGACTCATCTTGGATACTAAGGAAGGAGGCGGGGATGGTGAACCTTTGATCTTGACTGACATCCTTGGATCAGAAGATGCACTGGGTGACATGGACTTCAAGGTGTGCATTGTACTTACCCAAGTGAAATGTTATTTGGATAATATATTCCTTCGGAGCTGTGACTCTACTTGTGTCAGATGCCTTTTCATGTAGTTGTACCCGAAGTGCACAGTTGGTAACTTCTGCGGATCGAAACTGTTTTCTGTAGATTGCTGGCAACGAGGACGGCGTGACAGCTTTCCAGATGGACATAAAGGTGATGTCTCAAGATGTCTGATGGCTCACTAGTAGGTGAAGTAGATGTGCAGTATGTTTTTACTCAAATACTCATAAACCCTTAACATCACAAGAGACTGATTTCAATCGGGACAATTCCTTATCAGGTTGAGGGAATTACGATTCCAGTGATGAGGAAGGCGTTGACGCAAGCGAGGGCAGGAAGAATCCACATTTTGGGTATTGTTTTATTTATAAGTTGATGTGTCTTTGGTAGCCGCAGTTCTCTTCACTCATCCCTAAACCCAAAACCCTTGCCTGTGCTACAAGGCAAACTAAAGCAGAATATGATCGAGGATGTGTAATTCTTTACTGCTCTGTGTCGTGACGAAATCAGCTTCTTTCTATGCTTTGAAGTTCTTCTCCGGAGGGATCGATTATCATCATTGTGGTTTACTGAACACTTCTGAAGTACTTTCAGACGTGTCTGGTGTTGAAGTCTGAATAATTGTAGTGGAGGGTTTTTCCCGTTATCTTATGGGGATATCGTAATCGTACTGGGATGCTAACTCTGTTTACATGGGACAGGTGAGATGAAGAAGTGCTATCCACCTCCGGCTGGATCTCTTTCCAAGCACGCCCCATTCATAGATATTATCAAGGTGAGCAACGTGGAGTGCCGTAGAAATACCGCATTTCTGAAGATTGTGTAACTTGCAGAGACGCAAGAGGATTGGACTTGCGCATGTGAATCAAAGTCTTTTCCTCGCACTCTTCTCGTCATCGTTGCAATCATCCGTTGTGGCATCTGCTTGCACCGAGTTGGGACGTACTCCTCTGATTGGACTCTTCTCGCGTGGTACAGATCAAACCAGAGAAAGTGAATGTCGTGATCGGTTCTGGTGGCAAGACCATAAAGGGGCTAATTGAAGAAACGGGGGTTATGTCCATAGATGTGAACGACTTGGGAATTGTAAGTGTCATGCTTTCTCACTTTGTTTGTTCGAGTACTGGCCCGTTGCTCTCCGTTGTGTTGTCATGGTGAATTTTTACGAACTGCACTTATGCAATCATGCAAGCCTGAATTTTATCTTCGTTTGTGGATCAGGTAACGATTTGTGGGACCACACCTGAAGGTGTGCAACGTGCTAAGGCTAAAATAGCCGGTTTGACTATGGTTCCCCTTGTCGGAACTGTGTACAGGTGCCTGCCTCACATCCATTTGGGACTTTCCTTGCTACTGTGTTCTCAACATACTGAAATTAAAAGAAGCTTTTTTTTTAAATTTGCCTATCTTCAGTACTTAGCACCCAAGAACTAATGAAATATATTTAATGGATGTCTTGTAGCTAGAAAGTTCATTCCATTTCTTCACATTTGGAACTTCGTCTTAGCGATCAAGTGATTGTACAGCCTTACTTTTGTTCTACATTCCCATATGTTTGATTTGCACGTTCACCCCTGGTCCATGCGGCGGATTCATTTCCTAACGAAGGACTTGTCTGTCTCCAGAAACTGTAAGGTTAAGGGAATACTAGCTTTTGGTTGTTTCGTCGAAATTGCACCAGGAAAAGAGGTATTCAGTCACCCTTCTGTTGCAGCAATAAGCTCTTCCCAATTTTGTTAGAAATGTGGAGTACTCCTGAATCATCATTCATGTATCCTGAACTGCTTCACAGATAAATACTACCCTCTACCAGGTTCATCGTTTTGAGGTTCTGAAATCACACCTGACTTGATATATCTCGTGGTTTGTCAGGGCCTCGTTCACGTAAGCGAGCTAGCGCTTACTAGGGTGAACAAAGTCGAAGATGTAAGCAATATTTTCACTCTGGCTTTCACTCTGGTCTTGGCCCGTTTGGCATCGGATGGAATATGTCTTGGACCTAAAGGACGAGAGTGCTGTTTCCAAATGCTGTGCAGCATGTCAAAGAATTCCATGCCGCAAATTTCCATGATAGTGTAGCTGCAATGATGCCAGTGTATCAGGCGCACTGACTCCAATCTGTTGCCTGATTGAAACAGGTTGTAAATTTAGGTGATAGCTTGGACGTGAAGCTTACAGAGGTAAGAAGCGATGCAAGTCGTGAAGCTTCGAGTTTGCGGTTCGATACATCGATCTCATGTTTCTGAAGCGCCTGCCTGCCTGCCTGCTGCTTCTGAGAGCTACTGTACTGATGAGCAGTCTTGTCGTGTGGCAGATAAATTCCAAGGGACAACTAAGGCTGAGCCGGAAAGCCGTGCTTTTAGACGACCAGGCGAAGGAGCGGGGAGAGCCCAGTGAAGGTAGCGCACAGAGTACACAAAGTGAAGGTAGTGACGAATCACGTGAAGGGGGTGGTGATAGAGAAGAAGAAATGGCCAGTGCCTCTTAGAATAGCATTAGGAAATTGCTAGAAATTGTCACATTATTCTATCTCATTTGTAAGAAAGGCAAATTTTAATCTTACTCAATCCAAGCCTTGCCATTGTTTGCGTCGAAAGAGTTGTGCTGATTGAATACCCCACGCCTTGACCTCTGAGCTCGGGTGGGACATGACCATGGATATTCTCTAGATCACGGACCTGTGGTATGTCATTTATCCTGCGTGAATTGGCTTCATTTGTCACGTCTGCTTAGACATCGAGTGATGTCTAAGCAGACGCAAAGGCCCAATACCAACATCAACCGGACGATAATTACAACTCCCCACAAGTTTATTACACTTGAAATCCACCACTTGGTTTCTCCGAGACTAGAGTTCTTATTTGGACGTGGAATATCCACACTAATTGATTGTACACGAATGTAATAGCCTTGTGGATGCGATAAATATTCACATATAATGAATCTTAATATTGCGACGGTGCGTGAGAATGTGCATGTATCGGTGGAGCACTTGTTGATCGTACGTATTACGTTAGAGATTTTTATTTGGACGGCAAGACCCCGAGCTAAGGGAGGTTCAGTTTAGGGTTTAGAGTGAACTAAACGCCCATTCGCTGGACACAAGTTGCAGCAGCTCCAGCATCAAGTGCTCAATGGTGGTAAGGAGCCTGCCTGCAGCTGCTCCTGAGGGAGAAAAGAGAGGAAAAAATGACTCGGAGAGAATATGATCATTCCCAATCCCTGTCCCGCGAAATCCTTGCGTCCATTCATTGGTCAGTTTTTTAACACAAAAAACTCTACTCCACTACGTGACAAGCACATCACTTTCACTCATAGATAGTAACTCCTAAACCCTAAACCCTCCTAACCTTGGATGAAATGTGTTTGACATAATATTTTCAAATACAGAATTTCAAACACTCTTTGTATTGGTTAATTAGTTCATCACAGGAAGTAACAAGTTGTAGCGCAATATAAATATTTCCTCACATTGGAACATTCTCATCGGTACCAGGGTTCAGGTTCCGATGAGAATGTTTGTTATCCACTTTGTCCCACCATTCTACTTAAAATTAGGTCGCAGACCTAGCTAAGTAGATAGAAAAGAACAAGAGTGATATTACTATGCGATCTACCATACACAAATTTCCCAGCCAATTACTTCTTGTACGATCACCAAATTGAGGTTATATTACTACAGCTTTCTGTTTCTGAGCCGATGTCACTACTGAGAAGTATGTTCTATGTCTAAAATCACATACAGGCAGATTCTTCAAGACACTCATATTAATTCAACTTAAATTATCTTGACTATCTATAGGCTAATTGGCTTTTCCCTTCCTACCAGCAGTAACTATTACTGTGCGCGCCTGAATGACGTAAGAATCTGCATAGCTACCTCCAAAGTTTCCCCCGAGCCAGGTAACCGCCTTTGTGTCTTCTTCTAGGCATTTGGTGATAGTCACAAGTAAAATTATGTGTGCGAACTGCAAAAATTGGTGTATCAACCGTTACACTCAACTCATCAAGGTTGAGAGCAACATAGAGCTAGACGACCGTTAGCAGCCCAAGGGTGGTAGCAGTGTCGAATCTCAAGGTTAGAAATAACGGGACTACAAACAAAACACACACCATTTTATTTCACATCACAATAGCAAGAGACGCAGAACGTAGACATCCACAGTCGGAACTGTAATTCCCAGATCGAGAAAGACGCTGTTGCCCATTATGTATTAAGATGTCATGCGCGGCATCCCGTAGTAAAAAAGAAGTGTCAACCGCACTTCTTCTCGAGAGGCCCCATTCAACTGAGGCTTCTCGATAGAGGCGTAGAGAGCTGGTGGGGACAAATGTATTACCGGACTGGATCATGTAAAAATTGATGAAAGACACAATGCCAGGTAGGCAATCCTCTTTGTTCGTCTCCTTCTTTTGGAATCTAGGATGGATAGGCTTATGTTAGACTATGATGTACAAACTAGCTGGTACGTCCAGAATCCAGCCAGGAATTGCTTAATAAGCAATCAATTTCAGTATCTCAATTCCTGCCTACGAAAACAGTACCTCTGCAATGAGAGGAAGACTTTTCAACCGTGGTATGTCCTCCGTCATGATATTCTACTTGAAAACAACATTTGCGCCCACTGGTTGGCTGGCTGTGAGTTCGAGGCCAGTAGTCCTCTTCGCAAGGATCTGCATCATGAAAACCATCGCCTTTTTTACAAACAAAGAACAACCCGTGAAAACGGCAGTAAAACTCCACGCGAGTTCTGAGAAAAGTAGTAACAGGAAAGCATGCACTTCCAAAGAAGATGAAAAAGCAAAAGTGCTGAAATAGAAGTCAGTACCTATTTGCATTTTCCGGTAAGTCATGCTGTGCTTTCCATATGGTCCTTCTCTTGGTAATATGACGCATTTGGCTGAAACAGACGAACGCAGGAACACTCGGGTCTCTCGGACAATTGGAATGTATAGAGACGTCTGAGTCTCTGTACAAAGGGCTTCTGGAAATGCTCCTGTACTCACACAAATATATGGAAGCAGCTTGCTTCAGGGTTGCTAGCACCAAACTTACCAACTGGAAGGAATGGATGATGATGGAAATGATGGTAGTAGTACTCCACTCTTTTGGATATAATACTCGTGGAAGACAATCTTTGCCACAGGCAGCACGACTCTGTGTGTTGCGTTGTGGACCTTCTTGTATTTGTGTGTGTATAGCAACGTGCTTCACCACTCTACACCATGTACCAGAAAATGCCCAACAAGACAACGATCGTGAGCGCGACGGTCCGGCTGGTAAGCGATGAGTCGTCTTCATGAACGTGGACTGGTACCTGCACGCTAGCATCCTTGCGCTTATGGGACTGGACAGGGATGGTTCCCAATCCCACAACCGTGGCCTTGAGGTCCGGGTTATAGGAGTAGGCGTCGGCGAAAGTTGTGGCCATCTGCTTGATCCATCTTTCCCGTTCGGCCAACAAAGCTTGCTTTTTATTTTTGGCAAAGGAGAACGAGGTCCTAACCAGCCGATCCCTTTCTCTACAGGCGATTCGGCATGTTTCCTCATTCCCTCTGGCCCCATAGATCTGCTCATATAAAGACGCGACGTTTTCCCGAATAAGAGGGACGCTGTTAAGCCTAAAAAGGTACAGATTCAAAAATCTCAGCTCGGGCATCAGACCTTCTTTCAGCGCCCTTGCCATAGCCCCTACTCCGCGGTGGTCGAATTTGTTGAAGCCTAGGTCGAGGTACTCCAATTTTGACAGCTTACCGGCCTCCATGGCCGCCACCAGATCCACAACTCCTTCGTCCTTGATTCCACAGGCGCACAAATGCAGGTGCTGCAAATTGGGCAGATGCCCGGCCTGAATCATTTTCGCGAGAGCCACGCAGCCCTGCGTGCTCAGCTTGTTGAAGGACAGGTCCAGGCGCTTGAGGCGCGCGAGATTGCCCGTCGTGAACGCCGCCACGAAGTCCAGGATGTCCCTCTCGTCGGAGTCCAGGTACGGAAGCCTGAAGGGTTTTCCGGGCCGCAGACCTTGCAAGCCCGCGGCCATTTTCATGTTGCAGTTGCTGAGGTCGAGGCGCTCGAGCTGGGCCAGGTGCCCGGCCTCGATCATCTTCACCAGCGCAAACGTCCCGAAGAAGCTCAGCTTATTGGAGGACAGATCGAGCGTCGTCAACGCCGGCAGCTGCCCCGACAGAATGCCCTCCTCCAGAGCCCGAATTTGATAAATCTCCTCGATGCCGCACAGGCCTAGAATTAGATGCCGCAGGCTCAACAGGTAGCCCTCTTTGATGATCCGCCCCAGCGCGATGACGCCGCGCACGCCCAGGCTGTTCTCGGACAAGTCCAGGTGCTCGAGGCGGTCGGCGCTGCGCTCCCCGGACACCACGGCGCGAACGAACTCCTCCATCACGTCCCAGGTGAGCCCGCAACGGCGCAGATGGATGTGGCGCAGCGGCAGCAGCATGACCACGGAGAAAAGCTCGTCCTTGCAGCCCATGCGCAGGCTCTCGAGCGGCGCATCCTCGTCCTGCAGCCCCGACAGCTGCAGGTAGCTCAGGTTCCGGAACCGCCCTTCCCACAGCGCGTTCACCACCGCGTCCATGTCGCACGGCGGCAGCCCCAGATGCGCCAGCCGAGCCAGGTGCGTCGACTTTAGCGCCCGCGCCAACGCGTAGCTCAACTCGCCCTCGCCCTCGCCCTCACCCTCACCCTCACCCTCACCCTCGCGCTTGCGCTCCCCGACGGTGACGGCGCAATCCTCCTGCGAGAGGTCGAGCCATGTGAGCGCCTGGAAGCTGCCGCGCTCGAGCACGGCGGCGATGGCCACCACGCTGCGGGCGCCGAGGCGGTTGCGCGAGAGGTCGAGGTGCGTGAGCGACGGCATGTCCATGAGCGCCTCGGCCAGAGCCAGCGCGCCGCGCTCGCCCACGCGGTTGCGCGAGAGGTCGAGTAGCGCCAGCGAGCTCATGTCCAGCTCCGAGAAGGCCCGGGCCAGCAGCAGCGCGTCCTCATCGTCCAGGAACTGGCTCACGCGCAGCCACGAGCTCTTGGTGGCCGGGCGCAGATCGATGCACGCCGCGCGCTGCAGCTCCTGCTTCAGCCCCGCGTACAGCTTGTCCCAGCCCAGCGCATTGTGCGCGCCTGCGTCCGGCGGCTCTGTGGCCTCGAGCTCGCATTCCTTCTTGCTCGCCTGTCTGCGCAATCTGAAGAGCAGATACCTGATGATATCAGAGTTCAGTGGGTGCTGTCTCGAGGTATGACAGCCGGCGTTTTCCATAACGCCGTCCCGTTCATCTGCTGTGCCCGACCTCCCCTCTCCCGAGAAATTCTGTTCTACGAGAAGATTTTGAAGACCTGTCAAGACATCCTACTGGTCATGAGAAGTTGCCCTCGAGTCACGCATCGTGATGCACTTTTCAGGAAATCACAGCAGCCGCATCTTCGCCTCAAATCCTACTCACAAATCTTTCGATCCCGAGGTTCGACAGCCACAGACACTAAGACACCGAAGAATTAGTTTTTTTCTCGAAACAAGGATCTCCGAGGGTTCTCAATGACTACACTCCGACCATCGCAATTCCAAGGCAAAGAGTTTTTTTTACTGTCGGCACTCACTTGGATGTTTGCTGAGGAGTTTTAAACTGCGTTGAAGGACGACATCGATTGAACCCCTGCCAGACAGTCGCGTTTCCTGCACCCTCGACTGAGACATGTACGAATCAGAGAAATTCTCAACTCACCGAAGAGGCGCTAAAATGGACGAGCGATTCATCAAGTCAGGGTCTAGCACGTCCGAGTCGGCGCATCAAACTCCGAGAAACGATGCTACGTAAAGCGCTGGATCGACCTAGTTCCTCGTGCTAACAGGCTCATCTCGGTATGGAAGGAAAAAATCACTTGTTCTTATTTTCGGCACGACAGAGCAAGAACGCTTGGTCCAAGGGAATTAAGGAGGCCTCGTTCCAGATCTAGATTGAAATGATTCCGGCACGGTAAATGGGGCATCGGATCTGCAGCCTCTGCCTCGTATGAGGTGATACATTGTCAGAGACTGGACTATGGGCTAACTTTTGGTCGCGTTTTCCATCTCTTGCTTCCGACGCCAGTGAAGTGAGCTATATTCTCTTCCTCCTCGTTCTCTATCCTGCTACATCACTTAGCCTCTATCTTTCAACCGCCTTCGATTTGCCCCTCGAGCACCGGGAATCCCAATGTCGCTGTCCCTGTCCTATGCACCATTTCTTGACAACAATCACTCTCTCTAGATCTGAGACAGTCTATTCTTGTGATTCCCTTCTTAAAAGCCTCGCGCTAACTAGTCTGACTTCTCGCCCGATTCGCCCTCTCTCTTCCTTCCTTTCCTTCCTTCCTTCGTCTGTCCAGTAAGAGGTAAAAACACCTCCATCGCCGATTTCCGTCGACAACAAAACCCAGCGGTGAGCAATTTACAAGAATCACTTGCAGACAGATCGGACTGGAATCAAGTGCCAGATATTATTAGAATAATGCACACGTCCGGCTTTTAAATGTGTCCAGGCTGAGCTTGTGTACAGGGCAACAGTGGACGTGTGATTCTCCGGAACATGATCACGGCCTCCTGTTAACAATGTGAACACTCGCACTTGTAGGGCCGACGGCCTCTGCCGGGCTCGCACCTCCTGCGTCGTGTCTGCCTGGAATCGAACAAGACAAGCGCGCCTTGTGCAAATTGGCTTCGCCCAAAATTTGGCCTGCGCTGTTGTCTCCATGTGTTCGCTCGCTGACAGTTCCTGCGTCCATGTCCGGCGCTACCCTTTTCCGAGCCCTCTTCCGCCGCAGAGCCAGACCGCCACAGCGCGGGCAGCGTGAGGCCGAATCGCGGGTCGCCATTGCGGTCATGGTCTGCTGGTGCTCCACACCGAGTGCCTCATTATTTGCGACCCGCATCGTCTTCCTCGTCGTCGTCTTCTCGCGCGTCTTCGGAGCTGCGATCGGACATCGCGTCCACTTCGTCTCGTGCCTCTGGTGGCATCGGGTCCCTGGTGAATAATTGCGGCATATTCTGCTTTGTCCGAATTCCAAATTTCGATCAGATGGTTGCACAGCGGGACGTCTCTTCGTGGACGAGATGACCGGATTGTACCGGACCGGACCTTGTTTCTCGATCATTGCTCCTAAACAAGGCGGCGATGACATTGGGAAGCGAAAAATCTTTTCAGACCATAGGTACCAGAGCCCAACATTGGGTGCCCATGCCCAAACCCACCCATGCCCATGGGTTTTGGGTGGGTTTTGGGTGGCATTATTCTTCCATGGGTGGGCTCAAGTAATGCTATAAGGGCAGTATTTGTCAAGATCCAACCAAAAATTGGCGTAATTTGCATAGCATGGGTGGGCACAGGTAATGCTATAAGTGAGCATGGGTGGGATTAGGTCGCTGCTGATGGATATGGTCTGGTCTGGGTGCAGATTTGAAGTAAAATGTTGGCCTCTGAAGTAAAATGTTGGCCTCTGATAGGTACCGAACTGAATCATGGATAATACAGATACTCTCTTCCCATGACTTGGCTGCAGTATAAAATTTTTAGAAACACCAATGTAGAAGTTTTTGGCATCTTCAATTGAAAAGCTTTACTTTTTCGTTTAAAAGGTTTAGGAGTACACTGAGGATTAAATTCCAATTTTTTTCGAAAGACGTTGTAGTGGAAGGGATATAGTTGAAAAAATTATTGTTCTGGTTATAATAATCAACAAGTAAATTTTATAAAATAATTAGATTGAACTTAATTCAAATCATTTTTCCATAACGCGTTTCACCAGCCAAATTGAATTAGGACTTGATGATATTTTTATTCCGAATACTTATTTTCATACAATTTAATATAATGATGCTATTGTATACACACTTTAATCATATTTCCGGAAGTATACACCGTATTTTCAAACACATGAGCATCTATTTCATAACATAAATGTAAAATGAATTTCATTAAGTATTATCAATTTCACATAGAATAAAAACATTTTAATCCATCTTATTGAATAGTTTTCAATATGAAATTATGATTCTTTAGTTTTTTATTTATCAGAATTACAAAATTTGTAGTTTCCAGCTTATTAAATTTATATGTGAAGAATATGTACCAAACAGTTTAAAATGGTGACATTGATATTGATTCTTTGGCAATCCTGGTGTTTTGAAACATGCGGGTAGTGTATGTAAGAACCTTCCCAATAGTATTATATTGATGAAATTTATTATTATTATTTATTCTTATCATATACAAGTTTCAAGACATTTAACCTAAGATAAATTTAAATCACAATACCTTAAACTTATTAGATTGTCCCGCAATATAAGTAAAGAGCAAGAAGAATACGAATCCAAAAATAAGGATATCCTTGTATTGGCCACGGTAAAGCAGCTCGTTATAAGGTTTGTCAGCCCTTGCCGGATATTCAACATGCTACTTTAAAAGGATACGGAAATAGATATGATTAACTTCATCCATAATATTAGATAAAATAAAACGTTGTCTTCACACATAGGGATATTTTATCAATATCAACTTTCATATATATCAAGTATGATACTCTGGAGATGAATTCAGAGAAATTGTATTTGAAGTCTTTAAATTCACATATAGTTTATCAATGCACTGATGGGTGAATTTTATATATCTTTATATATATAATTATTATTTAGTCTAGATGTGTTCATTGCTTTTACCACCGTAAAGAGCAAGCAAGTTTATACCCACAAAATACTTGCTTTGTAAAGTTTAAAGCTTCCGGGAGACAAATAAAGCCCTTCCTGCAATAGAAGTCTTTCCCCGGGTTTTTGCTAGATAATTCAAAAACCCGGTTTTCTGTAACGATAGATTATTAGTTTTTTACAAAATAAAATAATTGAAACATAAGGCAAGACTAACCTGTGAAGTTTCAATCAATGAAATTTTTTTTGATACAAAAATATAAAATTCAATTAATCTAAGATTAGATCATACAAGTTTCATACTACTCCACAAAGTTCCAAAATCAAACCACAAGCCAGAAGTAGAAATGTTGTCGCCCACAAGTAATGAGGAAAGGATGCTGAAGGCGGGCGGCTTTGCTGCAGTGGAGGAGGAGGAGGAGCTAGCTGTGTTGGTATATAGCGGGGCAGGACCCGAGCAGCCGGGAGCATTCGGAGAAGAACTGTCTGGATGTTTTGTGACCTAAGGTTACGCAATAAACTCAATGGCTGAAGTAGATCTCGCTTCTCTGGTTGAAGCCAGTTGTATTTACGCTACTGAGTGCAAGTTGTCTTTGGGAGTGATTGAACAATCTAGTGACTCTTCAATTAAAGGATTTGCAATATATGGTCTGTCTTGGACATAAGGAAGAGAAAGATGCAACAGATTTAATAAACCATAGTATGATTATTTCCACCTATCTATTGATTGAAAATCGTTTTTAACTTTTTGAATTATCACATTTATGGTAATATTATTCTTAAATTTATTTATTAAATGATTTTTTTCCAGCCATTGAACGTATTTTTTGGTTTTTCTTGAATCTATTTATTTTAAAGACTATATATGTTAGTCAAAGTTAGAATATCACATCAATATTATGGTCAATGTCTTTTTGTCAAATTTCTTTTTCAGTTATATTAAATTATCTAGAATATACTATATATGATTGTTCATTTTTGAACTATCATTTCATCTTTTTCAGAATTTTTTTTGCATATTTAGAAACTATCTGCAATCAACTGATTTTATTTGAGACAAATAAATAAAAGAAATCTCAGTTTCAAAATCAACATGGGTTATCTTAAATTTACATAAGTATAAAAATGTAAACTACAGTCAACTCAAATGATATATATACAGCAATTAACATTTTTACATGACACAAATAGGTTGATGAAAATGTTATTTCTTGCCATGTTTTTTTCTGTTGTTGGCGAATCTAATTATATGCATACTTAAGTATCAAAGATGATGATAGAAACATATCACAACATATAGTAAATTTCATGTCATTACATAAGGCTTACTATATGCTGTAATATGTTTGCTTGTTTTCATATTCACATGAACATATTTGCATTTCAAATACGATACTGTAACGGTTTATCTTACATGCCATATATCTTTCTTGATTTCTATCTAGAAACAAACTAGATTTGTTTAATGATCAGCTTCTAGGAGAAGGAGGTCGATTCTTTTCAACGAGTTGATATATAAATAATAGAAATTAGCATAATATCACATTAGTATTTAAAAAAATTGACCTGGTAGTTTATGCATTCATATATTCATCCACATTTCAAAGCAACAAAATAATCACATATTTGTTCTCAAAACGGGTAAGAAAAGAATGTATTTTCTATGTCTGGGACCGCTGGTACTTGTTTTGCATTGCTGATTTGGTTCCTGTAGGGTTTGGCTGTGATTTAGTACAATGGATTAATTTTGGCTTGTACATTTTGATATTATGACATCTCTACTTTAAGAATTGATGTTTCTTCTCTCTCTTCGACGCCAAGTAACAGGAAACCGCATCCATGAAATAAATATAGATTTAAAAAAGACCTAATGAATGAATATCTAAGTAGCCAAGGGTAATCAGGAAAGCCCACAGCTTATGAAATATATATATCTGGCCATTCTTTTGGTTTCTTTCTTTCCACCCCATTACCCTTAATTATTAGTTCATGAATGAATGAACTAATAAATATCTGCTGCGTGTGTGATGATTGTAAGAGTAAGTTGTGGTGATGAGTACTCGAGATAAGCATCCTCCGTCAAAAAAATATTCGCGGGCGGTACTAATAATAATCATGTAACTAATTCACATACTCAGATAGTGTGCATCCTAAATCTGTCTTGTTTGGTGTAATATACATGAACAAAAGTGTGGAGGGTTTGAAAAGAATATGAACATTATTCAGGAGTAGATATGAGGTTTTTTGGCCCTTGTGGACAACAACAACCTCCTCTTTGCAAAGCAATTTCTGTTCAAACTCTATAACTCGACACACTTGTCTTTGCCCCTTCTATCTCTCTATTTTCCGAAGTCGAGACTGAGTCTAAAACTAGCTTTTGATTCTACTCAGATTTACTAGTATTGAGCTGTTTGATGACGAAATGGAAATTGGGAATGGAAGGGGTCCAACTCAAGATAGAAGGTGCAGCATGTGGCGATATTTTGTCGCTACATTGTGATTGAAACGGTGGAAATACTAGTATCGAAGTGGTTGGTGGCGTATGAGGCTGAAAATAGAAGGTTGAAACTTGTTTGGTCAAATCTGAAGGAAGGAGGTCAAGAAGCAAATCTATATTGAATGTCTTGGTTGTGGCAAACACTAGACAGGTTCCGAGTCAAGTCGGAGATAATGGTATGACTATAAATTTTAGGCAGAGATGGATTTATTTACAAGCCTTCCTTAAAGCTGCAGCTGACTGGGAGCCCAAGATACTTAACTACTTTGCTTGGCTTCAAGAAGAGATTTTGGAGAGGTCTAGAGTATTCCAGACGGTGAGGAAAGTTTAGGTGAATGTATGAGTGAATTATCAGTGAATGTATTGACAAAAGTAACTGTCTTGATTATATAAAGTGAATCTCCATATCCCTCGAGAGGGCTTATCAATATGCTAACTGAGATAATTTACTTTTATCATTATCTCAGGAATGAAATATAAGTCAAAAGAAAAAGAACAGAATAATTTTGTGTGTGCAGCAAATATATGAGTGAATTCCTAAAGCGAGAGTGGTCAGGAATCCATGTCTTCGTTTACAAAAGTGTAGTTCCCTTAAAACTTAATGTATAATTTTTTCAGGCAACATATATTCATCATTGTACACAGAACACTAACTATATTCATGTCAGTGAAGGATTCTTATGATGATGCGTAATATGTAACTTCATCCAAGTACTTGCAATTCACATTGTAATGCTATAGAACAGTGACCCATATTAACCCCTTGGTT